GGGGGACACTAAAAAAGGCCCTTTTAATGGCAGGCTTCTTCGGGATGTCGGGTGTCACTGTATGGTCTCGACACAGCTTCGCTTGTGAACCTAATGAGCTCCAAACAGCCTGTTTCAGGCCCTATTGCAGCACTGAGTCTTAGTTTGGCACCAAGTGCGATTGCCATTCAAGTCAAGAAGTTAACCCTCCTGACGAATCTTCAATCAGTGCCAAGTCATGTGTCCAAAGACTACGTGTGTTTTCGCGCTTTCGGTTTGCCGTGTTGCATACTCATGTCAGGTTGTACGCTTTTGGGGGGGGGTCTGATAGTATTCATGCGCAAGCGACCCTTTCTATTTGGACTCCCTCTTGGAGATTCATGGTGGGGTCGCCGATGATGATATGGCAGCCTTTGTGCGGTCCATTGTCTTGCAGCCTTAAAACGCTCTGGAAACCCAACTCAGAGTTGGCGCTTCCTATGTGGTACCCTGCTGGAGAAAACCGGCCAGTAAAACGGCCCGGACGTTTCTCGGACAACGTGCTCCAGAGATATTCTTAGCAGACTTGTCTGCGCACTTGCTTGTGCACAGAAGCAGCAGCTCCCATCCGCTTTGCGGCCCCTGTGCTTGATTTTCGTGTATGCGAGCGTGTTCGTTGGGTTCAAATTGGGCACACGAATGCACTGGGTTTGATTTACACACATGCGGCTTATCGTGACGCTTGACCAACGGAAAAAATGAAACCATGATTCACTAAAAAGGGATCTTGCTCATTCCAGGGGCTAGAAAAAACATTGCCGTTGCTTTCACTGCAGGGGAGCCATAGGAAGTTCATGCCAACGGTTGATGGCTGCGAAAACTGACACGAGCCCCTCGTCACGCTCACAGGCAACAAAAGCCGGACTGGGCGAGCCCACCTGCTGAGTTCAAACCTTTGCCACAGCAAAACACAAAGGCCCTTCGGTAGAGCCGCCAACTCAGTTGCTCGGTGAACTTGGTAACGCAATCGGAACCCTTTTTGGTCGAACCTATCCTAGAGGGTCCTCCACCCACCCATTGAGCTGGGACAAGCACAGACCCAACATAATATTTGCATGTGTCCCCCTACTCTACACACTGAAATCTGCAGAATGAAGTACTCCCAATGATAATTGATCTCCCAATGCAGGTTTGGGCTTCCAATGATAATTGATCTGCAGGGCAACCCCCGTGCCATGGACACTCAGGGCCTGTGCGGCCAAAAACCTAAAACACAACTACGCTGAAAGGGATGCTGGCCAAATCGACCCGTTCAGCGTCCATATTGTGGTTGACTCTCCTCCCATTCAAAAAGATGTGCCTGCAGGCGGCTAAACACAATCAAGAAGTCAAAGGGAGGAGGGCCAACTGCCTGATAGCATTCCATGTCCCAGAGTGGAATAATGTGGATAGTTGGGATTGATGAAACCGGATGAATACTGAGTAAGCCACCTACACAAGTGGTGCCTGGCGTGGATTTTGTCCATCCACTAATGGCTACTTGTTGTGGATTTTCCAACAAAAAGCTGAACTAGGTCGGTGTTGTCATTTCTTCCGGATCTATTTTCAAAGTAGTTGTTTTTTCCTGGGAGTCCAGGCCACCACTTCGCCAAAGTCCACGGAGCACAAGGAGGGAAGGCTCCCGTCTTGCTTCTTCACCTCGGCACCGCAAAAAAAACCTGGGGCTGGCTTGTGTGCATGCACGTTTGCATGTTTGCATGCTTGCATGCTTGCACAACAGCCAAATTTAGGTGATATTGTCATACCTCCCAAGGCTAAAACTGTATGGCTGGAATGAAAGCCCTTGTGCATCACCAGGTTTAATGGCTTGCAACTGAATGCACTCCAAGTATCTGTGCGCCTTTGGGAAATATAGATGCTTGCATCCAGACATGTCTCCGATCGGCATTCCAAGGCACGACCCTGGACAATTTGGACGGAACACCATTGTCTGGATTGCCAGGAGCGGGGGGTTGCCGAAATGCAGATTGATTGCGCAGTGCTTTAATGAAGCCGGTTGGGCAGCGCTCAATCATTTGAGTAGGTGATTCTACTTAGGCTTTTGGTTCATATAGTAATGTGTTATTCTAACTAATCCCTTCCTCCTAATGCTAAACAGTCCCCTAATTTCAAAACCAACTATTGAAAACCCCATATGCGGGAATACTACTTATAAAATAGCCAATGCTAACCAATTCTAAAGTGGGTATTTTCCCGCCCGTGCCCAAATCCAGCCCTATTGGGGGGGGGACCCGGGAGTACGTGTTGTTTACTGCGGCTGTACTACAAAGTTGCGACTTTCGAGCCGGAGCTCCGGGAGTACGTTTTCTTTACTACGGCTGTACTACAAAGATGCGACTTTCGAGCCGGAGCTCAGGGAGTACTTTTTCTTTACTACCGCTGTGCTACAAAGTTGAAACTTTCGACTGCGTGAACCGGGGGACCCCTAATGCTAAAACCGGTTTTTTTCCGGAGGGACCCGCTTAGTATTGGGGGGGGCGTTTAGCATTAGGGGGAAGGGATTATTTTGGTAGGACCACAAAGTCAATGGGTTTTTGGCGCTCATGTTTGGGCGAGTGGAGGGACCGGGGCAACGCGCAACTCGCCTCCGCCCATGTGTCCACGCGCGCACCCAACAAACGGTCACACACACACATACACACACACACACCTTCATTTGAAGACCTTGAGGCCGCTATGGTTTGCGCAGACCGGGCTGTTCAAGATGCAGTATTGACCCCAATAATCAACTGTTGCAAAACTCACGGGGCCTAGAAAAACGGAGGGGAGGGGGAGGGAGCCCAAATTAGCCCCCACACCCCGCGAGAAACGACCATTAAAGGAGCCCCCTCCCTGTAAGCGTCTTGGGCCGACCGTGGGGACTGCCCAGCGCCGCAAATTCCCGGCCAATTCGATCCGAGTTCTGAGTGTCCGGCTGGCCTTCGCCGCCGGCGGTTGGCCCAGGAACGGAAGGCGGGGTGTAAGTCCCCGTCCTTCCACTCCGCGTCCTGTCGAATTGTGTGGGATTTTCCGGTTCTTGGGCTTCACTCCAATGGGCCCAAGAAAAATTATTCCTTTCCAGGTTGCAAACCTGGGTCTGCCTCACCATCTTCATGACATCTCTCTGCTCGAACTATAACTTCCTAAACTGGAAATCAGGAATCCCAGGTGAGGGATGGTCATCATGGGTGAGCTCGTTTTACCGCCAAATCAGCAACAGCCGCTAGCTTTTGCACAAGGAAATTACTGCTTACTAGCCTGCACTCTGTGGACAAAACTGAGCTCCTTAGAGGTACCTTTCAAACATCACGAAAGATGAGCAGGTAAAAATCTGACCAAAAGGTGCTGACATGGTCCAAACCAGGGGGGAATATGGGGACCGGGACTACGTGAGTGTGCTAATTGTACTCCAAGGTGAGCTACAATTATACAATGTAGAAACGTAGTTCAAGAATTGACCCCCAATCCGGTAGATCCTCCAGATCCGGGAAAAACAATGTGACAGCATGCAAGGCACTACTCACTGGTCAGTCCGCAGATTTGTTCTTGAAGCGCCTAAACCCGTCTTAGTGTGTCTATAAGAACGCTCGGATGCCCCAGGCATACCCTTCCAGCCTCCAAGGATCGTGCCACAGTCTTGCCTGGCAAACAGGTGGGCGCTTAGGCCTGATGGCCATGGTATGCGAAAGGCAGCTTTGGCAACTGTGTAGGCCTTGCAATGGAAAAGCGCAACCAGGCTGTTTTTGGCACATGCTTCAAGTGTACCAAAAGACGGGATTCAAGGATAGCAAACACCCTCCCAAGACACGCACCGGAGCTTGAAGGTTCATGCTCAAGCTTCTGAGAAAGCTGCAGGTGTGACTGGTGTGAGGCACGTAACCAATAAAGCACGGTGACCGTGTCAAAAGCAGGATCGCTACAGGATTCCTCTGCAACAGCAAATCACCAGTTTTCTCATAACATGTCACCTTTGCGAAAATTCGGTTGTTCAAAACGGAAAGGTGGGCACAACACTATACCAAAGTCAAATCAACCTCCTGGTGCAAGTACGGAGCTTCTCTTTTTCTGGCTTCTCGGCTGAGATGTCATATCAAGGACCTCCACACTTCTTGCCATGACCCTGAGCTCACTTTCAGACGCCACAATCTCACCATACATTGGTGAGGACTGGAATGAATGGACTTGTGATGACTTCTGTGTATGTGCGCCTATGCGTTTGTGTGTCTGTGTGACTGTGACTGTGACTGTGAGTGTGACTGTGGCTGTGACTGTGTCTGTGTCTGTGTCTGTGTCAGTGTCAGTGTCAGTGTCAGTGTCTGTGTCTGTGTCTGTGTGTGTGTGCGTGCGTGCTTGTGTCTGCGTGTTTGTGTCTGCGTGTGTGTCTGCGTGTGTGTCTGCGTCTGCGTGTGCGTCTGCGTCTGCGTCTGCGTCCGCGTCCGCGTCCGCGTCTGCGTCTGCGCGCGCGGGCGCGTGTGTGTGTGCGTGTGCGTGTGCGTGCACATGGGCATGTGCGTGCGCGTGTGCGCGTGCGTCTGCGCGCGCGCGTGCGCGTGTGCGTGTGCGTGTGCGTGCACGTGGGCATGTGCGTGTGCGTGTGCGCGTGCGCGTGCGTGAGCGTGACCGTGTGCGTGTGCGTGTAGGTGTGTGTGTGTGTGTGGGTGTGGGTGAGCAGCCCCAATAACTACTCGTGAAGGGTAGTTTTTCGGTAGCGGCTGGCTGTGAGTGAGCAAACGGCCACAAGATGCCACAAGCGGTGGGAGCCATTTTGTAAGCGAGCTCTGGAAAGATTGTGCCCAGGTGAATGAACCTGGGTGTCCTTTGGAACATGGGTGCTGGTAAATGATTCGAGCCAAACTCCAACTAGTTTCCAGCGCCATCTAGTTTTACCCGAATTGAGACCTCAAAGGACACCCGGTTCTCACGATTGACGCCTGCCCCCCTTCTCCCCTTTGGCCATGGAAGCTCCGAGGCCAACTGGAACTCAGCCAAGGGTGAAATTTTGCTCACAAGAACTCCCGGGCGATTCTGCTCTGCTCCCCCTGGGTGTGGGCTCTCGCGTCGCCAGGGCATCGCTGCAGGCACCGCCGCTCCCAACTCTCTGCCGTGCCGCCGCTGCGCATGTGCGCCTCAATCCTGGGGCCAAAAGCAAAGGACTCCAACATGGCTGTGGAAAAAAACAACTCTTTCTGTACGTACCAAACCTGTGGACATCCAAGTCCATGAATATTTTGTCACTGTGAAGTGGGTTTTCTGGCATCACATGCAGCAGCCCCGAAAAAACTGCCCACAATCCCGTTCCACTACCCCCCCCCCGCCCCGGTTGCATAACTGGGATATACAGTATACAGCCACCATATGAAGGGACATACCGTGCCCAATCTTTTCGGGGGTGTAGTGGATCGAAGCGGAAGCCATCTTACGGCGGGACTTACCTTTCCACTTCTGTGATACGGGGGATGCCGTTGCAGGGGAAGGGCAAGGTTCCCTTTCAGCACAGAAGTGGGCAAAACAATGAAATGTTGTTCCAGGATTCATGAATCCTTGGTTGAGCAATAGGTTTCTCATGTTATTAGGGGAATTCATCTTTGTGGGGAACACCATGCCAATCCGCAAGGTTGACCAATCTCAATCTGGCATCACCACGAAGCGGGCATGTGCCCTGCTTTACATGTTGCCTTCCCTGAAAGATAAAATGAGTCTTGGCGGAGACACAACAATGTAGGTATAGGGAAACTTTTCAAAGTTTGTGTGTCAGAGATATTCGGAAAATATCACCTGACTCAACGCTGACAGGTGAGTTCGCAAGTTGTTTGTGTAGAGTCAAGTTCGGCTACACTGTCTCCAAATCTCCGGGGAGGGGTTCAAACTTGTTGGACTCTTTTTCCTTGGCCCGAATCTGGGTACACATAAAATCATGTTCAGATTCCGTGTCACGTTTGGCCAACCCCAAAACACACTTTTTAAAAGACCCCAGACGTGGTTTAAAGTTTAAACTAAAGTCTAAACGTTTGGATTTGGAGTCAGTAGTCGATTTTTGGATTCCGTTCCCGTCTCTCTTCAAAGCACACGGGGTTGATTCCCCTGCTTTTCAATTTCCAACAATCAGCTATTTCTTTGGGTGTTTGGTCGTCTTCCGGAGACAAAGACTCCTGGAAAGAATCGGGGAGTAACCCCTAGAACAATGGATAATGTTGACCCCAGAGTAATGACGCCTCCACGTATTATGAAGGGGTCCCCTTTTACTGGGGATTTCTTCTTCCCAGGGGGACCCCTAATTCATAATGGGCAGTTGCTGAAATCAGGAGTTGACATTACATGACATTGCCATCAAACGACCCGCAAAGACAACACCCTTTTACCGACAGTTGATTAGCCAGTGGCTTCCGGCTCTCCAAAACCAAAAGGGGAAAACAATCACGGGGAAAAAAAGGACGACACATCGGCCAACCCCGAATGCTCGGGGTGATATTTAAGAAAACTAAGTCTGGACACTAAGCCACATACCATCGCATTTAGTGTTCAAGGGGTTCCCTCCCGAAAATCAAAACCAAGCTATGGGGAAAAACACATGCTTCCTTGGAACAAGTAGTTCATTTCCCAGGAGTTTCCACACGCAAAAACAACAACCCTTTCTCGGCAGTTGATTTCCCAGCAGCTTCCGGCTCTTCAAAACCAAAAGGGGAAAAAACACAACAACGCGCATTTCACCTTTGGGTAGTTGATCTTTGAAGAAAACCCCTCAAGGAAAACAAAGACAACACATCGGCCCACTCCGAATGCCCGGGCTTGGGGTGGTTCGCCCAGGCACTGGCGGAAGGGCACCATGATGCGCCGGCTCGGGGCCCAGTAGTCCGCCTGCCAGATCCTGAAATTTTGACATAGAAACCTCCATAGACGGCACATTCAATACGTACTTGCTGAGTGGATGGCCCCAAAAAAGTCCAAACTTTGTATTTGCCACCAAAATGGTCTTCCCAAGTTTAAAGTTCATGAACTCAGGAAGTGGGTCAATAGAGCCCACTGGTGACGTTAAAATTCAGTAACCCCTGCCGTCCAGGGGCCATGGGGGAAACGGATGGAGAGTAGTCCCTGGCAACAATTCGCAACGCGCTGAGAAAACATGAAACTGGGTTGCTCCAAGCCAAGCTCCCCTGAGCTAAAGGCATAACCGTTTGTAAGTTTAATTGAAAAAGTAATTTGCTTCCAAAAAGTTTGAAGGGCTAAGGTCACACCAAAGCTTTCGGTTCAGAAAGGGGAACCGGAGGGGGACGACACAAAACGACACCGCCGCAAACACTTGCTTCAAATTGGGTGTCGCCTGTTGAAACCAGCTGTAGACAACGCATATCCTATCAGAAAACACCAATGTGTGAACACAAACGAATGGTGCTAAACAGATGCGGCGAATCATGCTGGTCCTCTTTACAAAGCCGGCTGAATCAGAAAAGCCAAAGCCTTACAATGTGTGGAATTCTGAACCTTTCCCTAAGGCTGGCTAAACTTCTCCAAAGAACCCTGAGCTATTGAATATCATTCCAATCTGCTCACCTGAAACCCCGCACGAAACACAACGCCTATTCCACACTTCCACTTGTGCAGCACCTGTGGGCACCTCGAAAATAATGTTTGTCTTGCAAAAAGTACGGGTTTTGTCAAGGACCCCCCCCGAATCCTAAATAGCCAATAAGGCCTCGCGCCGGGAGGTTCATTAAGGCCCCAACCGCAGGTTGCCTGGGTGCCAAGACAATTTTAGGGGACCGATGTCTATTTTGAGAAACACCCATTTAATCCCTGCTGTTCATATGCCAGTGGCAGCAAACGGGCCTTTCAAAGTAGAGGGGCCAGCCCCGTTCTCCATCCTCGTAACTCAAAGGGGACCAAGCACTTTCGCACAAGCGAATCTTCAAGGGTGGCACTTGAACAGCCCGCTTGAGTGTAGATGGATCTGGCTGCCGAAATTGGTTGGAATGGAACATCAGAAGCAACAAGTTGTGGAAGCCAACCAAAGCACGGCAACATTCAGCATCAGCAGCACAACTACGCAGTTAGTTCACTTCCATGTCATGTAAGCTTGGCATCGAGGCAATAACGTTGCCCAAGACAAGCAACACCCGATTTCTTCAAGTCAGTCGCCACTTCTAGCCCGCACTCCAGGAAAACCCCGCATGCCTAATGCACATGGGCACCAGATCCCTTATGGATGGAGGTTGTGCGCTAATACGGCCTTGCTAGGGCGCGATTTGGAGTAAAAGGGGGGGGGTCCATCCTGACGAGTGTGCAGGTCAGGTTTTGAAGCCAAGCATCGGTACTACTCGGAAGCACAGCTCTCTGGCAGCGGGGCGGCCGGTGGAAAGGATCTGCTGCCTGAAGCTACGACGCTGAGGCATGGGGGGTTGCTACGAAGCTCTCTGCCACCACATCTACATCAGCTTCTTCCCCAAAAATCACGTTTGGGCTCATATCTGGTGGCTTCAGACGGATGATGGAGTTCAGCACGTCCAAGGCAAGCATGACTCTGAAGCAACGGTGTTGGGAATAAGTATATTTGGCTCGAATGCAAAACCAAGAGCTGGGAAGCGTTTGAGAACAGGCACAACCAACCAGGGCGAAGCCAAAGTTGGGAAGCCGGGCCTTACCACGCTGTGACAGCAAGCAGCTTTGTTTGTTGCAGGCCCTGACTGAAAGATTGGAGAACTATCAAACATAAAGCAAAGGCAATTAACATACAAAGAGTCGGAAACAAAGTCTCAAGTTGACAAGGGCGACTCACTTTGGGCAACATGAATCGGGCTGCTTTCCCGGAACACCTCCGAAGCAAACTAACGGAGCCATTTAGGGAGGTCTCAGGGTATGAATCCCTCCCACGCTATCTTTTTTAAAGGAGCATGAAACATAATTTAAGCTGTTGTGTGTTCTCCCCATTTTATGAGATACCAATTTGCTGGCTGCAGCCGAGAGGAGGAAAACAAATCCGTCCGGAGCAGCACTAGCCCGGCCAGCATGGTTCAAATAATGAAGCAACACGTGAGTAGCGGTGGTCCCAACACCCATTGACCTTTGCTTCTACCAAGGCCGGCGTGACAATGCACTTTGTCAGGCATGTATGTTTTCCGCTAGGGAAGGTTTATCGACTTGGCCAATTTAAGGGGGTGGGGGGGAAAAATATCAACTAGCCCCAGCCCAGGCTTCATTTGCCAGGCAACATCTGCCTGAGCCGTGCGCCGGCTGCTTGCGCCTCCGCCTCCGCCCGTACGAAGGCGCCACTGCTGCCGACGCCCGCGGCGAGCAATCGCCGTGCCAGGCGCGTTTGGACCTCCCCGGCGTCCAGCGCCAACACGGCGTCGGCCACTGCAGGCGCTATAGGCTCCACAGCCTGGGGCCTAGGGCAGCAAAGGGGCAGTTTCATGGGCAAAACAACCTAGGGATTTCTAGGGATCCTTTTGGTTGGTGCGCTTGGATGCTACGGCGACAAAAAGGTGAGGGCAACATAAGGTTTGCAGACACATGCAGGCACATGTGCAACTATATTCCACAAACGAGGTAGTCAAAGTGCAATGGCTGTATGTGCCCCCACTTATAACCTGGGTGAAAGTTAGATGGTGTGCTGCAAGCCAACTACAACAAACAAAACATGAGACGTGCACTTGGTTGATGCGTGTTTTACCCCTACCCAGGCCTGGTAGCAAACAAAACGGGCTTATGGGCTGCAGGCTGGAAACAACTTAAATTGTTCTGTACGGTCCACTGCTGGGCCGGAGCGGGATCTGTTGGTCAGGTTGGATAAATTCGACCCTGAGAGGGTGGGCGCCGGCCATGATGAGTTTGCCGGAGCTTGGCCGGTCAATGCAACGCGATAGGACTTAGGACTTCTGGGAACAAGGCGATACTTTAAGTGCTGAGAGGCTGGGGGGCCCTTGAAGAAGTTGCAAAGCAATGGAACGACCCGCCACATGGCCCAGGGATGGGTCTGCACGCTCTGGTGTGGGCAAGATACAGCCCCCAAAGCGACTTCCCGCACTCACGAGATGGCTCGCTCGCGGAAAGAGGTTGTCAGAGTCAGAAAGGGTGATGTCGCGGCACACCTTTGGCCGATGGATGGCAACGTGGCCGAACCCATTCCGATTCAAGAAGCTGGCACAAATACCAGCAATACCTGATAACTTGTGAACATCCTGCCACCCGCTGATAGCCGCCAGGGCAGGACACAAGCGTACCCATATTCGTTTCGATTAGCCCTAATAGCATCTGATTGGGCGCAGGGTCTGCAAGCCTAACTTGATGGAATGTCATGGGCTTGAAAATGCAGAGCTGTCGCAGAAACCTCCGTACAAAATAAGCCACCCCCAGGCGGGGCCCCATCCTTACAGGCTTCTTTTGCTGTCTCGGGCACCCCACCAAATGAATCTCAATTGTGAATGTTTCAGCCGACCCAAAAGCGTGAAACTTGCCCACCATGCTTAGGCTGCAAAAAAGGACGCATAAGCCGCCCGAAAAGGGAACCATACCGCAAGGAACTCCCCCATCCTTCTTGCCCAATCCCCATGATTGATTCTGGTCCATATTTTGTGAATCCCAAAATGCAAGAACACGTGTCCAAAGAGATCCGAGAATAAAGGGAATGGGGCACATCTCCCCGAGCTGAAGACGCGGCCAGGCAGCAGCTCGATGCATGCGGGGTACCAGTAGGTGAAGGGCCCGATCCTGGGTCGCCATGAGCCCCTGGCCCACCTCCCTGCCCCCCAACCCCCCCCCCTCAAGGGCCAAAGAAATGCAAAAACCCCATGCTTCCTCGACTATTTTTTAAATAGGGGTTGTTCAACCCCTATTTTTTGCATTGACAACCCCTATTTTTTGATATTGGCCTTTGGGGTCCATTTTGGGTTGTTACTTTGTTGTTTATCGAAATTCCGCCTGCCATTGCAACCTCTTAAGAAGCCTTGGGAGCCAGTAGGTTACTATTTATTGATAGGGTCCTCGGCCCTTTCGTGTTTGCGCAATGCACCTGCTGAAAGTCTTGCGTAGACGGAGCCTTCATCTAGCAAATTCTAGAATTGTCCTCTGCAATTTGCGCAGGTGGCACGAACAACAAGCAACTTTGTTTGCTTTTTCCGCTCCAATTTTCACACAGCTCCAAAAACGACGTGAGCGTAGACAAACCGTAGACAAAGCGTAGAAAAACCGTAGAAACACCATTTTTTGGCGTAGAACCACTATTTTTTGGCGTAGAACCACTATTGTTTGGCGTAGAACGGGCAAATTTTGCAGGGGACCCAGAAGATCAACATTCTCATCCTGGAATGGTTGCTGTGATGGGTAAATATTTTTGCTGTCCCGGTTTGTTTGGTGTGGCTAAGAAAGTGGGGCAAAAGAAGGACAGAAACGGTCAGAAGAGGATTCACCCTCACGCGCTACATGGCCATGTTAAGAAACCAAGCAAAATAGAAGCAACTAGCCTTGTGCATATGAAAATACATATTCGGCTTTGGGATCCTATGAGGCGGCCTTAGCGTCAAGTCTTTCCTAGTCCCTGTTCCAGTCCAAAACGGAGGCTGCCGCTCGTCATCAAAAAAATAGTCTTCATCAAAAAACCGGGGTTGTCACAACGACTATTTTTAATAGGCTTTGGAAGCATAGGGAAAACACAAACAAAACTAAGAAATTCCAAAACCACCACACCATCACAAAACACGATAAAACATAAAATAATCACTGCACGCAACAGAGCGGCTCACCAAGGCAACACGATATGCTATCATGTTCTCACCTGCTCAGCGAACTGCCCATCATGAGCTTCCGTTTCCTGGTGCGGACGAACACTCAACAAAAACCACCCTACAATGTCGCAAAAACGCCCAGTCCGAAATTAAGGCTTCCTGGAAACGCAGGCAGCGTGTTTGTCCAACGGTTTAGGCGAAGGTCTTTTCCGCCTTCTCCCGCAGCACGAGGCTCTCTTGAGGGTAGGCATTCAAGACCTCACTGCCGATTGGCAAAGCCACCTTGTCTCACCCACGGGCCTGAAAACAAAATGCTGAGGGACGTGGACTCAAACTGGACCAAAAAGGGGCAATCGAAAGATCAAAAGGTCGGCTTTGGCCAACCGGCAACAGGACCAGAACGCTAGAACCAGGAACCACTAATTACTGTCAGCAGAAGAACCGCCCAACAAGGTCGAAAGAACTTGAGACAGGACGGACCGAACCTGGCACCGTTTGTACGAAGTGCCGACGTTAGTTGCCTTTCCATGAGCCCGTTGCGAGTCGTGAACCAAATCATGTGCCTTGGCAAAACGTAACGTGAAACCAGTCCAGCCCAAACAAACCAGCTTCCGCGAAAGGAAGCCCACCCAGTGGTCGTGGAACAAAACGCGTCTTTTCGCGTGGTTGTTTCTTTTGATGTTAACCCTCCCCAGCCAAAAACACAAATGCTCGGAAAACAACCTCCAAACAAAACGCAACAAAAAACAAGACCTCCAGCACGAATGGTAGCAAGGGTACCCGGGTGGCGTCGATGCTCACCAGTTCTATGGACTTCTCCTCATTCTCCTGCGAGACGTGGGTTGGTCTCAACACAAAATTTGGACCCCCAACATGCTTCTTGGTTGCCCTTCAACAACTCACCAATCTGGTATCCTAACAAAAGACAGACGTGATTTGACCAGTGTGAAGACTAGATGGCACTAGTCCCTTCATGTCCATAAATGGGATGACTAAACCAAAAAGCAACAGCAGTTAGAACCCCTTTGTTCTAATCAATTAAGCTAAACCAATGGAATGGGGGATTGGGCCATTGGGTGTGGGGTACCGCGAAGCAAGATTGAGTAAGGACCATGAGGCAGATAGGTGTTGCTTAGGGGGGAGGAGGGGTGGGTTTAGGGTGGGCTTACGGTTGGTTGAGGGTCGGGTTTGGCATGTTGAGGGTGAGGCTTGGGGCAGGGGCTTCAGGGGGCGTTCATTGCCGGCATAGTACCCGTTGGTCATCGACCTCCTCATTTTCTCGAAGTCATCGGCTTTGCCATTTTGGGGCCTGAAGTCAATCGCACCATTGCCTTCTTAGAGTTCGCCTCAAGGATTTCTGCAGTGTGGCTATGGTGTCTTCTTGAGCTTTAAGGACTGGATCCGGACAGTCGGTCTTGGCCGGCGACTTCACGGCAGCTTCTCGACGGCAGTCTTGGCAGGCTCAGGTGACTTGTCTGCTTTGGGCAGGCACAACCGGGCAAGATTCAAAAACAGCCTTGGTTCAGGATCTCAGGCTTGAACTTGGGTTTGGCGCCCTCTAGAGTCGGTGCGCAAGCTCTGCTCTCTGCCGCCTGCATGCCTGACTTGAACTTGCAGGTCTCCTCAACAAAGGATCGAACTGAACACCTTGATCGGTCCCCTTCTGCGACGGCCATCGCGGCGTTGTAATGGGCTTAGCCACAGGGCGCACGACGAGCTTGGTGTAGGACTCTGCTTCCCGCAAAAAGCTCGGCGGACGGCAGCAAGGCAGTGACCTCCTTCATCTTTGTGTCGGCCTGCAGTGAGGCATGCTGAGGCAATCAACATTCAACTTCGCGTCCTCCTTTAGGACCGCTGTGGAAATCTGAAGCGGCGCGCGCATGAGGCCCTTCTCGGTGAAGAGCGATGGGCATTTGTTCTTGGGTTCTTGGAAGCAAGGGGCGACTTGGTGCTTGAAGCAATGTGCTTTCAGAAGGGTCTGCGCGAAACCACTTTACCAAGCTGAAGCAGCGCAGCCAATAGCTGCCAGACTCGGTACCCGTTAACGGGTACCGATGATCGATGTCATCATCTTCAGTGCAACCCTGTGTTTCCAGCATGCGGGTCGCAAGCCTGTCCCGCGGCCGGGCCAGAAGCGCTTTTTTGCCTCTGCGACTGCTGTTGGCGCTGCGAAGCCTCGAGCCCTCAGCCGCAGGAACAACGTCTTCACTATTGGACAGAACTGCGTGAGCCCTTCTCTGCCATGGAGCACGGGCGGCAAGACACACCACTGTCCAGCTATCCCTCAAATTGCAAGACGTCGAATGGAAACTGCAGGAGGGATTGCGACATCCTGGCTGAACTGAGGAGCCGAGAGGACGCGCGCTCATCGTCCTCTCTGGACGATATTTTTCGTCTAGGCGGCTGCCGGGGCGGGGGGGGGGGTTGAATCTGCACGGTTGCGGCGGTCGAATTTATACGGGGTCGGCTGGTCACATGTACATGGGACACAAGGTTACTGTCACCTTTTTACAAGCATATACATTTTTTCGGCTGGTCGAAAATACACGGGCTGAGCCTTGAGCCAGGTCTCCCTACAGAGCAGCGAAATCTGAGGCTTTTGGTAGAGCTTGAACAACTTGCAACCGCCCAGTCAATTTCAATCTGAGGTGCCCGCAGCCTGCCTAAAGCCAAAATCTTCTAATACATGTGAAAGCATCCTTTCTAGCCCGCCTTCCAGACCCGGCCGCGAAGGTTCGTGTTCGGGACCCCGGCCGTCTGCGGCGAAGCTTCCTTCCGTGAGAAAGGCAAAGCAGAATTACTGCCTCCGCCGAGCGAAGAATGTGAAAACAATCCGCCCTCCCTTCTGCCAATGCTCGCGGCCTTCCAGCTCCGGCTGCTCTGGCGCTTGTTCGGGCCCTCGACCTTCTTTGGCGAAGATTCGTTCCGCGTCTTTCCAGGCCAAACATAGGAAAGGATTTGCTTTTCCCCTTCCCTTTGCTGCACAACAAAGCCTTCCAGCTCCAGCTGCCAGGGTGCTTGCGCAAGACCAAGGCCGTCTTCGACCAGATTTCTGCCGTGGCAAACGTAGGACGGATGAGTTCAACTGCCCTTTTGATGCCAAGGCCATCCTAGTTAGCCTTCCCCAGGCTCCCTGGAAGCCAGCGACTACTCTCCTTCTGTTGCTGGCTGGGCCGCCTGGTCCGCTGCTGGCCCAGCATGAGCTCAAAGTGTTGCCCTCGCTGTTAGCTTGCTCGCGCAGAAAGAGGCTATCAAGCTCAAGCTGTCAGCCCACTCCCGTACCAACTGGCACTCCAGCTGCTGGCGCATTGCTGCCCAGCGCAAGCTGGATTCTGTTTGCTGCAAATGCTTGTCCTGCAATGCGGCCCGTGTCAAAGTCATGTTGTTTAATTCGCTGCGGCCGCCCAGCGGCTGGCGGCCGCAGCCCCGCTTTAGAAAGGAAAGCAGAACTGAAAACGGTCAAAGCTCCTTGTGGGTTTCGCGGCGCCAGGCGCCAACTTCAGGGTGACAAGCCACGTAGAGACACGCCCAATAAAAACGTGCAGCCGCAGGCACCGGCAGGATCTCTACTTCTTGCACACACAACTCATCAAGACCGCCGCTTTTGCTGGGCTCTCTTGGCTGCTTGGAGTGGGCGGAACCAAGGATGGCGGAGATGTCTCTGCCGCGCAGCAGGGGCCGACCCAACGCAATTCGTCCTGGAGGCCTCCGTGGTCGACGATCTCTGCTTCAGCTGGCTTGCTTCCTGCAGCCGTGGATGTTTGAGACATGTCCTGGCTTTCATGCTGGGGCCGTGAGCGAAAACAAACCTCCGCCCTGCCACCCGATTGCACCTTCGGCAACTAGGTGCCGTCATGGTCGGCATTTCTGATGAGGAGCTACTTGTTGAATACAGGTGTAAGCGGGGAGGTCACACTTATGCGGCCGATGTGGACTTTGGTCGTCGGCTTATGTGGCCTGTGGTCGTCAGGTGATCCCGGAGGTTACTGTGTCCGAAGGGCCAGCGCAAGCGGCTCGAAGGAAAAGACGCAGAGTCTTCTCGTCTTGCAACTGCTTGAAAAGCAGTCACTGTGCTTGACTCGCCGCCGAAGCGAAGACGAATCTGTGAGGCCTGGCCGTCAGGCAACCGTTGAGCTAACCTGGAGAGACAGTTTAGTGTGAACCAAATGGGTGACCAAAAACGCTTTTGGAACTGGAGCTTTTGTTTTTGAGCCAACCGGCCGCTTGTCTAGGAAAGATGGTTTTGGCACTGGAGCGCATTTTTTGCTTCAAATGGCCTATTGACTAGAAAACACACTTTTGGCACTGGACCTTCTGGTTTTGAGCCAAACGGCCGCTCGACTAGGAAAAGGCAGTTTCGGCACTTAGAGTCAAACGGCCCCTCAACTAGTTCTTGCATTGTGAACCAGGTGGACGAACCCTGTATCCGGAGATAAGTGTTCCGTCTTTGCGCTTTCAGGACAAGGCTTTGGCCGCCGGTGGCTGCGTCGTCTAAGGAACCTAAGACCTGTGCGCAAGACGTCGAAATCCCTTAATGGACCTGTAGCCAAGAGGTCTGCAGGTATGCGATGCCGTCGTCATGTGCATGTTTTGTTTAACAAAAAAACATGTCAGTGTTACACAAGGCTTGGTCGCAGTTGTCATTGTTACCACTTCTGCTCTAGGGTGGGTTTGAGGTTGCCTGCATGCTTGCTTGTTTGCTTTCCAGGGGACTCGATAAAACCAAACCAGCAGGAAAAAACAACAACAAATGAAATAATAATATGGCACCATTTTCAGTCCCTTTCGGACCAACCTTTCCGGGCTTGAACTAGTGGGCCGTTTGGCAGGGTCATATTCTGGGGAACCAGGGGGCTGAAGAGGTATTGAACATCAAAGCCGTACTGTGGATGGACAGAATCTATGCCAGGCACCAGTTGGTAGCAGCTTGTCAGCCAGTATCGATAGGGCTTCATCCATCCCAACTGCTGCGAAGTGGATTTTGTCCATGCACCGTATGCGTTAAAATTGGCGAACCTGGAAAAATAACTATGTTTGGGAGTATAAATTTTGGGTTAGGGCTGGTTGATGCTTGGGGGGTGTCTCAAAATAAGGAACCTCTCCAACAAAAGAGTTTCTATTCGAGTTCTACTTTCAACCACACCACGCATTGGGACCAGCCATTTGTGAACCTGGTATACAACGTCCTTACCCGCAGAAATTACTTGCTGCCCAAAACTCAGAGGCAAGGTGAAACCGCGGCTGTCTCTGACAATCCCCATTGAGTATGCACTTGAATTATTGTGTGACTCCTGCGTGAAAAAGAGCACCGTAGGTACCCATTCTTTTCGGGGGGTTTCAACGGACCCATAGCCAACTTGGGCTGACATACTCGTTCTGCCAGTGGAATAAAGTATAAAAAGGTGTGTGCTGACACCCGCGCAGAAAACAAATCACGGGCACAAACAACAAACAACAATTGCATTTCAGGAGTGCCAAAGGCAGACCACACTTTGAAGTCACCCAAAGCGGCCCGGCCCAGCAAAGAACTGACAACCCCACGAATAGGTACACCGTGTCCACTTTTCACCGCCCGTCCATATTTTCCGAGGCCCTTCCCAAAAAGAGATGACCCTGCAACCTAGCAACACTGAGTCATCCGTCCACCTTGACACAGCTATACCGACCCAGTGGTGCACTGGCATTGCCCCGCACATGTGCTCTTTACTAGGGTTGTCGGTCGTGCATCCCTCCACACCCATCTCTCCACGCCGCTCAAAATTGCGTTGAACCCTCACTTGCCCAAACTATCGATTTGTTGGGCCCATGACCTACCCAAGCCCAGAGAAATCCATTTCGCAAACCGCCGACTCGCTTTGGCCAGTGCTTGGAAGGAAACCTCCATTGCTCATTTGCCCGATGTTGATTACATGGAAATCCATTTCCTCACTTGCTCATGCCTGAAAGCCAGCCAACTAAGCAATGCAGGAACCTAACCTAAAAGGAAACCTACTTCAAATTGACCTTTCCAAGCCTCTCCAAAAGGTAATGCTTAAAAACACGGCGTAGTTCAAGGTGTCACGTCTGGGGCCTGGACCGACTCGGCGCAAAAATCCGTTGTTGGCTTCCTTCCGGGCAAATCAAGCAAACATATTGGAGCCAGCTTGCGCCCAGCACCGCGGCAATGTGTCCTTCTAGGTCCATTGAGTGACATCCTCCAAATTTTCGCTGAATGGTAACTGTGGTTTAAAAGACCCCCCCCCCCCAATCCCTCAAAGAAATGTTGAGAACGGCCCCCCTCATGCGGGCCCACTGTCAGGGACAGTCCTTCTGCCGCAACATCAGGTTCGACGGCCCGCCGTCTCTCTGCAGCGTGATGGTGGCGAGGATGCATAGCTGATGCACGCACTCCACATCCAACCGTGACAGCACCTCAATTGGGGAGGGGCTTGGGTTGCAGAATTGGGAAGGGGTTTGGGTTGCAGCCTGGAAAAAGATTTGTTCGCTAATGGACCCAGTGCAAACAAACCAACACCTGCTCCACCTGCACAACAAAGCAAGAGCAACCGGGCATCAGGTGACGCGAAGCCCCCGCGCCTGGTAGAAGTCGGCATCTGAAGGCTCCTCTCGGTACCAGTCCCTGAGAAGCCTCAGCCATCAACTTGGGCTGGTGGAAATGGGTCAAAATAGGAAAACCGGGACCCAACCAGCGAGGGGGGTTCTTTTGGTTTCCCTACCTGGAAAAATACCTTCGTCAACACACACGCAAATGAAAGCAAGTCAAATCATAATTCGTCAGCCCAGCCCAGAGTTGAAAAAGGTCTTGTAATCTCGACCGTGGATTAATCAAAGGGTGTCAAAGTTTCTGGATCACCCAGGTCACAAAGGACTTGTCTCAGCTTCTCTTGCACCTGGCTGCTGTCTGCGGTGGCTTCTCAGTTACCCCAGGTCACAGCAGCCCAAGATTCTAGAACAGCGGCGAACGCCCCAAAAGTTGCCTGGATGCTCTGGGCGTTCCTCATTCTCTTGCATCCGACCATATTCTGCTCTGGGAGTTCCTCGGCTTCTCTTGCACCTAACTGCTGTATGCGCCCCTGCCTGGATTACCCCAGGTGTGGCCATGCTAAGCCAAGAGTCGCGCTGCCGGCCATTTGCAGTAAAAATCAGACGGCGCGGAAAAATGCTGCTGTGCTTCCGCCTTCAGCTTCCATCTCCACTGGGCAAGTGCACATACATCCACCTTCACTGCGAAGGTATTCAGCCTGAAAGGGCCTTGTGACTAAAGCCATCTTGCTAAAGCCCGAAGTCGAGCGATTCATTGATCAAGTCAAGTGGTTGGCCCAACTGCCCGGCTTACGCCCCACCGCCCGATCCCTTCATTCACCTCTTGAACGAGCCGAGGGGCGCATCTTCGCCACAGTCCCGCCCGTCAGGGGTTGAGGCGTACGCTTGCATCAAATCGATACCTCACTGGCAACCCGTGGCTTTTTCTCGGCGGAGACAGGGACATGATAAATTTTGGAGGTGGCCAATGTGAAAAGGAAAATACCCTGGACGTTTTGGGTTGGCTGATTTTAAGGACTTGACCAGTTTCGGCCAAATTATATACGTAAAAACATGTCAAGCCATTTTTGACGAAAAAAGGACCTTCCAATTTCTGGCTGGTTGATTTCTTTTGAACCATGACGTGACCCTGGGCTGATTTTAAAGAGGGCAACACTCATTTTGTTGGGCGACCGAATTCTTCGAAGGGAACCAAAACTTGCCAACACACATACTACAAAAAAGAAACACGAGCACCCTTTGGCTAGGATGCACCCGAAGACGTTGGTCAAACGCTGCGCGTCTTTGGCCGGCTCCGAGCTGGTGCTCAAGCGGACGCATTTCCTCAGAACCGATCCCACGCTCTGTCCGACAAAGGGATCCTCATGTATCCTGCCAGCGGCCTTGTTCATCGAATTTCATCGATATGGACAGGGGCCATGTAGTCTTCCAAAACCCTTCTGTCAGCTTCTATGAGTGTTGGATAAAGGGTAGTGAGGCGTCACTTTCCCTGCCTTGGGTTCTTCCTGTTGCACATGGCCCACTGCAGAAGTTGAAAGCATGCCGCCATGCAGAGCAAACAAGAAAATACATATACAGCATTGTTTTCAGCAAAAGTGGCATGGAGGAACCCCAAGAACCGAGCTGATTCGGACCCTGCGAGGCAAAATGGTGTTCTTGGAAATCACTGAGGAGCTGGGAAAGGGTAGCCTAGTCCCCACAAGTTCAACACTGGGCAATCCCTAATTCAATGCGTAATCTGTAGCGGGACGCCGCTACAACAGTACCATGTGGCATGAAGATTGAGGATTCAGGCAGAGAGTGACCTTCACCGTAGGGTGCATAGCGGTCCTCGCTATTCCTTCACCCCAGCTCCCCCCCCCCGCTGGCTGGCTGGTTTAAAATTGGCTGGTTTCCTCTTGCTTGGCTTCGAGAGAGTTGTCCAAATCATGGGATATTCAGCCCCCCCCCTCACCCCAGTTCCCGTGTCACGACGAGCTGCTCAATGGTGACCCACACATGGGTGGGCCAGGTGTCGCTGCTGGGGTTCTCCTCCAGGGTTGGTTTAGGGCCGGTCCCAAACAACCTTCTTGTGGATTCCCTTGTTGGTCTCCAGTTTATCTTGCAATTGGCCAATAATATGAGACGGTTGTTTGGTGTACCCCAGGGTTGGGCCAAGGTAAACTTGAAGGGGCCTGGTTCGAATCTACTTACCATGGTTGCAAGTCCACCAAGTAAGTGAGTTCGAACCAAGGTTACTGGCCCCCGGCCAAAGAAACAAGTCGCGCAAAGGCTGGAATCCTCTGTGGTGCATTGTTTGCCATTTCGCACTCAGAAAAACTGGAACTGGATCAAGGACAAACCCGCTGCATTACAAGCGAACCCTCTAAATCAGCTGGCTGTCTGTAGCCCAAACGTATCCGCTGAGTTTGTTTTCACGTCCTGCGCCGCATGCCAGGCCGCCGTGTGCTTCCGCAGCAGCTCCAGCACGCAGTTGTCCAAGCTGCCCCCAGATGGCGGGAAGCTGTGGGCTCCAAGCAGCGTCCTCACAGTCCCATCGCAGACAAAGGGAAAGGGGACCTCAACCATCCAGAAGGGGTGATTCCTCAACAGTGCCATTCCCCCCTCTTAAGTGAACCATGTCTTCTTGAGCAAGAACAGGTCCATCCACATACCTGAAGCAGCCCTTACAAGCGAAACCATGCTTTTGATTAAAAGAAAAAGTTAAATCCACATACCCGAAGCATCCCTTAGACTCTAAGATAGTCATGTCTATCTAACCTTAGGCTCGCCCATGCCTGGCAATTCCCCATTCAACACAACGCCGGCTCCGAGAAAACGGCGACTTGTTCTCATGTTTTTGTTGCGGCCGAGCGTCAACTCCATGGCGACACACGGCGCAACGACTTGGCCAAGCCCCAGTTGCTCCGCGAAAACGTAGTGGCACTCCTCCCGGAAAGCTTTGGCCGGAGAATCGCCACGATACCTTGGAGCCATCTGGCAAGAATGCAAAATGCGGCCTTCAAGCTGAGAGAACCTCAGATATGTCAAAACCAAAGGTAAACTGCAGCGTTCCCCTCGGGTCCGTAGTTGCAAAACTCAAGGGCTGTCGTCATGTCTTGCGCTTGCAAGGGTGCCCCAAATGACACTCGCGTATGCAGCCACGTATGGAAGGTGCACAACATTGCACAACCCAAGAAATTTATATATACATATATATATATACACATGTATATATTTCCCCGTTGCGACCCTAGGGTCAGGGGTACATGACATTAACCCTTGAAATGTTGAGGACATCAAGCATTCCACGATCATATCCCGCACATTTTCCTTTCAAGAGGAATCTTCGGGGAACCCCCTTCTTGAGCTTCAAATCCCAAAAAGACCCCCAATGGTGGAAAAAACCGATTCGGCACCATTTTGTTCGGTTTTAAAGGGGGGGGCTCCCTCATAATTAAGTCTCTCGAACTGGTTGACCCTTCTGGTTGGCCTAAGAGAAAACAAAGATGCCGCAGGTGGAAAACTTCCAGGCCTGTCGCACCTCTCCCGCTTACTCCATAAATGGTCTCCCCCCCCAAAAAGTGCAAAAACAAATGCTTTTGGTTGCAAGAGGGTTCTGTCCCCAAAAAGATGTTTCTCGAAACAAAAGTCGCCTCCTCTTCTTCTTCGGAGGATCGAAGTGCCTCGTTGAAACGGCTTTCTTACGCGTCGACTTAACAAATCACTGAAACATTGCACACCCAGAACCAGGGTTGCCAGGAAGGAACCCTAATCACATGGATGAGGCTGCAAACCACTGTTGGTGAGGTCGCTCCCATTTGTCCAGAAATCATGGCTCGACGAAACGCCCCAGCTATCGAAAGACCAAGCCACTTCACCACCGCCTCCGGCCAGGGTGGCTGCAATATCGATGCAAAACAAACAGACCTGGTTGCAAAAGCTGGGTTGCTCTCCCTGAGCAAAAAGTCTATTAAGCCTTTGTAGGTTTGATGGAAAAGCCGTATGCTTCCAAAACGTCTAAGCGTAAATCTAGGGGCACTTTCGCCAAAGACCATGAAAGGAGCCTGCTCAAAGTGGTTTAAACATGCTTCAAGGAGACCCAACCCTGTTCTCCACTCACCTGCAACCAGTGGCTTCCCATTGGCTTCCCCATGCGAGGAGGGCCCCTGTAAATTGATTGATTTGACCGAAGCCTACGGGTTCTTGTAAAACCATTGGCTCTCAAAAGGCGGGCGGTTTCTTTGGTTGCCTGATCCAAGGGTTCAACAGAGCCTTTCTGGTGCACATGTAGGGGCGCCTTGGTGCGGTTGACTCGCTCGGAACACTCGTGGCCTCCGGCACACCGGCACAAAGGATCACCCCCACCACGGTGCTCTCATCGTTGGGCTTCGCCAGCTGCACTTCCACAGCACCGCCGGCCGCCGGGCGCTGAAGCAGGTCCAACAGCGCCTTCGCTGAGTCTGTGAAGGTCGTTTTTGGGATGGTGGCCTTGGTTTTCAAGGTAAAAGGACAAACCAGGCAAGCCCTTAATTAAGCCACACACCTTGGATTCCAAACTGAAGTCTAGGACTGAACTGAGGGAAAGTCTATCATAGAAACTAACCGGCATGCTTTCCTAGCTTGAAGGCACAACAAACAAACTGCCGCATGTACAGCTCACAGCCCTGCGCCTAAGGGCAGCCATGCCTTTCGGGGCATTCCCGGTTTGCGACTTTGTCCCACCGCCCAAAATGACCCTGGCAGCGGGTGAACTGAAGATCCCAGAAAGACAACTTCCCATGTTCTTTAGGGCTCCTTCAAGGAGTCAAACACTCCCCATCTGCAGCCGTTGAAGACAGGCAGCCCGGCAGCCCGCGGGGAAGTCTCGGCCGCGCCAACAGCCGTGCACCGCCCGCTGGGCCGCTGCCAGCCACTCATCGCCGAAGTCAGAACCGGCGTCCAGCTGGTCCTGGGCCAAGAATTTGTGGGTGCGACATGAGTCTAATATATATATGTATATGTATATATATATAATATGTATATATATATATATACATCAATCTGAACATGCTTGCTAAATGGTCCAATTTGAACTGGGTGGCAAATATGAACTCCATTCTTATGCTTCCCTTTGGAAACACATCCTCGCCATGTGAAAAAGAACGACATCCGTGGCCTTGGCCAGCTTCACGGTGGGAGGCTTCGAGCTGGAGGGCTACGCCATGACCCTGAGCGCCTTCGCCTGGAACATCGTGTGCACCTACACCCTGACGCCGGGGAGACGCTACTCCTTCGGCTGACGGTAATTTGAAGGGAAACCCTTCGCAAGATGTTGTCTGGTTTGGTTGGTAGGCCTCGCTGCAAGCCCGCAAAAAAACAGAGCTTCTGGCCTAGGCGTGAAGCGCCACACATTGCCTTCTCGTTTGTTCTGTTGGGGGGGGGGTTGGCCTAGGTGTCCCGTTAGACTAGACTTAGACACTGGCACATGGCTGGTACCAAAGAATCCGTGGAATCCAAATCCACCTTCAACCGAAAACCACAACTCGCCTATTTGTCTCATATGATTACCTCACGACCACCACCAAGTTTGTGGGTTCAAAGTGCCTCACAACCCCGTTCCATTTATTCAGGCCGTTCTCTGAAGCTAAGCCTCACAATGAAGCATCATGAATCATGACCGCCCCCCCCCCGTCTCGCTCGCCAAGTCTCCGCCAGCCTTCGCAGCTCCTGTGCCGTCTGAGTCCGCTCGTCCATGGGATGGCCATGCCAGCGGATCGGCAGAGCAAAACCAAAACCGACGGACGCGTTTTGCTTCGCTGGGGGCTGTCTGGAGGCATTCAAAGATTAGCCGTCCGCTTCTGGCTTCATTTCGGGACAATCAATCAGTATGGGCTACTTGGCACCCAAGAAGCAAATCTGCTTTCGAGATGTACCAAACAAAAACCGGGCCTTGCGCGCGGGGAACCCCTCAATCGCACAAGGGATTTCGGATGCTTTCGTCGCCCGGTGGTTCTTGTCCCAGCCACTTAAAAACTGTGGCCGCGCCGGGTGGTTGATTTGGGGATCTGAACAAAAAGAGAACTTGTCTAACATCTATCCCCACGGCCCCATGGTAGGTTTCCTTCAAGGAACATTGCCGCCAACACCACATAGGCGACTTAACTCTCAGCATGGGAACGGCCGGATTGTGGCAAGCCTTCATGCACAGCAACCTCAGAGTCACCCAAGTTTGGAAAACTGGTTGGCCCCAAAAGTGGGCTGGAAGAAATGCAGTGGCATCTTCGAAATCATTCGAAATCGCCTTGAAGACAATTTTATGTTTCTGAAGCGCCAGAAAATGACGGTAAGCGACTGAGTGGGTCTGACCCACTCCCATACTAGAGCGAATCCAGGCGATGTCCGTGGGTCAAACGCAGTCAGCAACAACAAACAGCCTCCAAAAAAGAAGAACAGCCCCCACTTCGGGCACGCACAGGCCGAACCCGAGGCTAAGAGCCGCAATGTGGGCGGCGCGTCTTCTGTTGCACCTGTGACTGCATGCATATGTTTTTCGTTGTGTACCCGACTCGGTTCCTCCATACGGATGTGGTTGTGTGAGGGTACCTTTTGCTGGGGTTATGTTGAACGAAAACCAACGACAAACACACATGTTGTTTGGGCGACCCCGCCGAACCCCCCCCTCCCCCCCCGTAGAGAGAGCAGCTCATATCGCAGCACGGCCGGTGACAAGAATAAGAAGGAACAACTTGCCGATTCATGAACGTGTTCAAGCGCATTTGTCCCACCTGTAGCTGCCGCTTGGCTCGGCATGCTATCTAAAAGCAGCGTCCCGGCTTGAAATGGTAAACAACAATTTCCGAAGTCCAGGACAGGCTGCCCAACTACTTGTTTCATACAAACGTCCATTTTGTGAGACAAAGTCTAGAATTTGGGAAGGTCTCTGCCAAATTGGCAGAATGCGATGTGGCATCCCCTTCTGGCGCATCACTGTGAAAAGCCAGGCACTAAGTTGGGGCTAGGCCACTCTGACATATTGGGAAGCTCCATGGGAATGAGCGAAATGAGGCTTAGCCACCGCTGGCATGATCAATTTTGGAGCACCTGTGACTTTGAAATTGGAGTTTCAGTGAATGGGGCAAGCTCCTAAAATGGCATGGTTCTGGAGGCAGTGCTAAGGGCATCGCAAAGGGCTGCATCTTTATCTGTGAGCGCCTTACCTTCAACTCCAAAGTTTCTAGTTTTGGCCCATATTGACCCATATTGAGGGTGTCCAAAGTCAGACATCATTTGACCAGATATATGGACCGTGTTTGTTTCCCGACACTAAATTCAGCTCAACTGAGCACCCCTCCCCCCATATCCGCCGGTGCCTTGCGCCAGATCTTCTGGGTCAAAGTTCCGCAAGCTGGGAAGCTGCTGAAGGGTGTCCCCCTTTTCTTCGGCCTGCAGGATGCAAGACATAATTGACAGTGTGTGTGTGTGTGTGTGTGTGCGCATGCTGCCTTCCATACGATTCGTCATGGCGAGTTTGCTTCATCGTTACCACTTGGGTTTCCTTCAAATTGCGCACGCCCAAAACTTACACATTCAAACCAAAAAAACACGAAGTGGCCCCACATCAGTAGGGGTGCCCTTCCAGGTTCTCCTTGGAGACAATCCCATGTTCAAGACAACCTCATGCAAAATGTACAAGGTTTCAGGTAAGGCCGCGCCTGCAGTCATATCAGGCCCTCTTCAACACAACTATCTCCTCCTGAAGGCCTGGAAATAAACGCTAATTACTCAGGACTCCCTTGAAGTAGTGTCTCTTGAAAAGTTGATGACGGATTTGGAGCGGCCATGCCCAGTCAACCCTTGGTGAATCTGAGGCGGAAGATAGCTATTCACCGACCAAAGCAAGGATCCCAGAAATGTGTCTGATTTCGGAACTGTCTTACCAAAGGCTAAGGTAGCTGCAACGTCTCTGGCAAGAACGTATATGACTCGCCTGCAACTTTCTACGAGGCCCCTAGAAAGGCCAGGGTCCTTGTACTTCAGTCTCGGAGCTCGGAAAAAGCAGCTCCGCTGGGCCAGACATCAACAAACCAGACATTAGCCAAACTATTCCAATCTCTATCTCTCTCTCTCTCTCTCTCTCTCTCTCTGTTTGCACCATCGGTAGGCCGTCAACCAGAGCTGGGGGTGCCAAGAGCTCTATTTGAATCAGTCAGCTGTTCCTATTCGCCCCCCCCCCCCCACCATTTTTTTTTTTTTTTTTTTTTAACCTTCTGCGCGGCATTGCGTGCAAGGCACGTCCACCGACCGTGTCACCCACCGATCCAGGAAGACAACCTCCTTGGTGGCGTAACGCGATTGCCATGGTCACATAGTCACCCATTCTAATCCCCGCACGAGCTGCACCCAACAAATGGCATTCGGGACCCTGGCGTGCACGCTTGGTTCAAGAAGCACCCCTAAAGTTATCCTTTCTCTTTAAAACAGGTGGCAGAAGAGGGCATAAGGATCTAACAAGGGACCATACGCCCACCAGTGCTGGGGTGCCCTTCCCCCCTGAGCAAAAGGTGTAACCTTGCGTAGGTTTAATAGAAAAGCCACTGAATTCCGAAAAGTCTGAGGGGCGATTCGGTCACACCAACGCCCAGCCGTGATTGGATCTGTTCTCTCGGCTGGAAAACCGAGGACCCGGCGTGTTCTGTGAGCGAGCCAGTGCCATTGGCTTCCAAAATGCTGAACAGCGCTTTCCTGGGTACGGGGTCGATTCGCGATGCGAAAACATCCAACTTAAGATGTGCAATTTGTAACATATCATATAGCTGTTACATGTCTTCGTTTGCAGCTAGGGGATGTAAGTGCATGAATGGCAGACAATATTGAGAAAAAACACACATGCAGAATATGATGCATGATTTAGAGCCTGTGTTAAAAAGGAGAAAACAACTGCCATCAAGCAACATATTCGTTGGTCTATACGAGCCCCTGCTCGTGAGTCGCAATAAGCCTGACCAAGAATTGGGAAATTACTGGCTCCACTGCAGCCACTCTCAGACACGCAAGAACATATAGACAGTGACGGGAAACGACTATTGGCCTTTGCAAAGTGAGTGCCCGTGGCCAATCAATATAGCTTGCACTTCCTCCAGCTCCAGCACGCAAGGGGAAAAAAAACAAACCAAGCGCAGGTCTTCCATGACCGCTTGAGGAACTTGGAAACATCCGCAACTCGACCTCACGGTCTAAATTCAAAACCTGCGGCTGCTGAGCCAAGTGGCATCTTCCGAGTGTAACGTAATCTAACAACAAATGTCCAAACAAAAACACATCTCTTGGTTTCCATTTAATTTGAGACATTAGGAACTGTAGGCTGTTGACAAAGCAAAGGGCGCAGTCGGAGACTCCTACTCACTCCATACGTGAATATATATATATATACATACATACATAGCTGCAATGGCTCCCCTTGGTATGACTCTAAATCGGTATGCCAGCTATCTGGCACCCGGTCTGATTCCAAGGCTCAAGTTTGCACGGAAGCCGTAAATACGACAAGCACGCTTGAACTCCTTGAAGGACAAGGTCTTGGAGCTGTCCTCGTCAAACACCTTGAAGCAACGGTGACAGCCTATTGCCAATACACTGCACAGGGTTTGGCACATGGGTGCCCCCTTGCAATGCTCACCCCCCTACCCTCCCTTCAGCTAACATGAAACCCACCAAAAAAAGGCTCCCTTTTAAAGGGAAATTGCCTTCCATGGCCCGGCAAACCTGTAAGTTTGGGAAATCAAAGTGTTTCACTCCCCTGTGAATTTGGGGGTGGGGTTGGAACAGCCATTCTGTATACAAAATGCATTGGATCGAGTCCGTACAAAATGAGGTTGTTTGGAGAAAAACATATCTACAACATGGGTCCCTGAATCGGGCACTCCAAACTGTTCCCGCTTCAGCTAGGGATCTATGTCATGGGGCCCCCTTGAAATCCACATCTCATCTTGCAGGCCTCTCAATCCTGCCAGTGTTCCAAGTGGATTGGGGTAGGAAACATGCAGTTCTACCAGCATGTCCCGCAGCCCGCATCCCAGCCGGGCGGTGGCATTGGCAGAGCCACATATCGAAAAGAAGTCGCTTGGTGGCGTTCAACCAAGCCCAAGCTCCACAAAACGCTGAGGATATGAGACCGCATCTCTGCCAAATGACACACCCGGGCAAAACCCCTCAGTATGGCCCGCAAAGAAAACAAGGGATATGCAGCCTCTTAAAAATGCATGCGTTTTGCAGAAGTCGTTTTGTGGAGGAGGGTTACTACAAAATGGGTTTACTACGAACTGGGGTGACCCAACACTAGGTGAGACCCCCCCCTTTCACCGCATTCACTATTCAAAAGAACGTTAAGAGGGAGGTCAAACTCACCCATTTTGCAGGGAATGTACAGGGGGGATGTTGTGTCATGGAAGTGTCCTTCAAACAAGCGGTTTGGTGAAGCTTGCCAGGATGTTTCATGGTTCACTGAGCAAGGCGAGAAGCTCCGCTTAGAGCCGATTCAAGCCGAGTGGAGGTCCAGGACTTCGCCCCCATGATGAGTTCGCAACCAAGCAAATTCCCAGCAAGTCACCGGCACCACCCCCAGGATCTGTGTGAGCCCCCAAACAAAACTCAAACGAATTTCAACCCAATGGTCCTTTTGGAGTACTATTAGAATGTCTGCCTGCAAGGGGTCTACGACGTTCAAGCGCATCTGCCTGACCAAGCTATATCGCCTTACCCCTCATTCTTGGATTGGTGGTTTGTGGATTTGAGCCCCTCTTCTCGACAAGTGGGAAGGTAATTACCCCACAACCTCCAAGCCGACATCCAAATCGCCAGTTGGAAAACACGCGACACATCCATCACGCCGCGGGGCCGAAAACATGGATCGCACGCTCCCGAACTCCTTGACCGCCCAGAGTCGGAAGTCCTGGGCTTTTGACATAGGCGATAGGCTACGCTTGGATCGGGATCCGAGGGGGTGGGGGGTGTAACTTGAGCGATTTCTTCGCACATGGCGGAATACCTGAGCACAATGTCAGGCCAAGATCTGTAAGCTTTCCTGCTTGTTGGAAAGCGGGCAGAACTTTAACTTGTGTTTGTCCCCTGCTTCGACGTCGTCAAAAGTTGCGTATTCTGCAAACTCACAACCAGCGCCGAATGTACAGCTCAGTTTACCTGCATGTACTGCGTATGTCGGTCAAGAAAAGGGAGCCCCCAAAATATGGTTTGGGTTTCCCTTTAGACCAACCCAAAGTGTGCCGAGTCGAAAGTGGGGACCCATTGGGAAACACTGTCGAAACACGGGCATTCAGCTTGCTGACCTATGCAGCCGCAAGCCTTTCAGCCGTCAACATCGGGATTGCCGCTGGCTAGCAAGCCAACCGCGAGGCTTTGCGTCCCCATGATCAAGGCCAGTCCGGAGAGCCTCTATGCTGCCCCAATGTTGGTGTTGGTTCGAAGAAGCTGCCGACAAAGCGTCGACTAGCGCAAGCTCTATGCCAGCCTAGCCTTTCGGGATGGCTAAACAGGAAACAAATGTGGGACGCCGAAACATTGAAAAGGTCTGCGTCTTACAACTGAGTTTCCTAGAAATTTGCCCCAGCGATTGCATACTTTCCAGCCAGGCACCGTTAGGACTGTGCTGGAGGTCGGGTCGATGTCGGACAGGGAGATGGTTCCTGCAAGGCCCACTGGCAAGTTTGTCAACCGCAAACTTTCCGGAACTCCTACAACAGCTGAATCAAGGATGGCCCGCTTTTCACAAGGATGCGCTATGATGGCTAAGCGTCTTCAGAATGAGCCCGGAAATCTTTTTGGGATTGAATTGAATGTGTCGGACCCATTTTAATCGATCTTCCCGTGGTTTCTTCAAACGTTTCACTGGGCTTGTCTAAAAAGTGGGGGCCACCCCTGGGCATGGCCATGGTCCCGAATTCTTCGTAAGCGGTGAGCCACATAATCGTTCCAAAGTCCTTGCCCCACAATTGGCAATTCAAACATCCTCAACCCACGGCAATTAGCCCTTTCTCTGCCAACACGGCGAAGTAACAGATCCCGACTTCTAAGCAAAGGAGAAGCTCTGCTTGGTGCCAAATCATGGGTTGTCTCCATATAGGGTGTACCTAAAAAGGATGGCTTCCCTTCAGTTTCCCTGGTAAAACAAATGCGAACCGGGGCTCCCTCCCAAAAGAGACACGCCCATTCACTTGCCTGACATGTTCTCGTCCAGCGCACGCCAAGCCCCAGCCATATCCTGCTTGAAGCCTGGGTATCAACCCACTTTCAGCTTCCCCCAAAATGGGTGGTTTGGATTGGGTGGTTTGGGGGGTGTTCCGTAGTTCCCCATCAACACTCTACAAGAAGGGGTTCAAATCCCCGAGCCACCAACCCAAACCAGCAACGGATCCCTTTGGGTCACCTGGGGGGGGGTCTATCTCCATGGATGTTTGTGCGCAGAAAGTATTGTAGGTTACTCCCATTATCATATGTCCATAAACCCGTGTTGCCCCCTTTGAATCCATTGTTTGCAAGCTACTACAAAGTGTCAGGCAACCACAATCTGTAGAAACCTTCAGGGTTCGACACAGCTGCTTTTTTCCCGCCTCCGGCCTCCTTTGGACCAGCCCGCCAAAAAAGGGTGACCCTTTTGCTGCCCGGTCATGCTGGGACAGCGAATCCAACCAACCAAAGGAGGGCAGCTCATGCGTGATGGGAGAACCAAGCACAGCAAAAGGAAGCATTGAGCCGCTGGTGAGAGAAAACAACAACATAAGCGCCGGATCAATCAAGCCGTCCAAAAAAGAAACACATGCTTTCACGAGAGACAACAACAAATAAAAAACAGGGAACCCTCATTGTTGATGAGGGGTAAGTAGGCAAACCACCTCGCAAAAGGGAAAAAGGCTATGATGGCTGATATGAGGACAGCTGATGGGTTCAAAGCGGGCCTGCCACTAAGACAAACTTTCAGCAAGCAGCGTTTAATGTTTCCCAAGTTCAGTCCAATTGGCTGCTGTTCAGAAACAACAACCAACCCAGTTCAATACATGCACCCAAGTAGGTAGGACTGCTCCCAGCCACATGTCTGCGTGGGCCCCAAGGTTCGTGTTGGGAGAGTAGGGAGACCAGCGAGGTACCTGTCCCCAGGTTCCTGGGCACCTGAATCATGCGATCCCCAATCGCTCAGGGATCTGCATGGCGAGCTTGATTTGAACCCGGACCCAGGTGGATCTCGCAACTAGGAAGCTGTTTACAATTGAAACCTCCTTTAGATCCATTTGCGACCCGCAGTTCCATGCTTTCTTTAGTGGGTATAGCGGGTGACCATTTTCGGAGCCAATGCCCAAGGACCGCTGATACAACAGGTCGGTCTTTCCGTCGGCCGCCACCTAACTCCAAGCCAAAATGGAAGCCCTTTCCCTAGCAGCAGAATCTCCATCCCATGGCTGCGGGAGAGCCAACGAGGAGTGGGGTTAGGGAAGGGGATCCCAGCAGTATAGGCGTCCAGACGCACCTGCAAGCACGCCAAGGTGAAGTTGTCTTAAACTCCTCTTGCGGATGGAATAAGCCCCGCAACGGTTGGTGGGTGATTCTTCCGAGTAGTCATAGCGAAAAGTTACCCATCCACAGTGTCTGTCACTCCCTCGGAGGCAGTGCCGACTGACTATTTTTTGTCGCGGAAGTCCTTAGGCCCTTTCTAGCCTGGACCAAGCCTCAAACCTGAGAAATCAAAACCTGCAGAAAGGAAGGGGGTGAATTCAAAACCTGCAGAAAGGAAGGCGCATTCAGGGTAAGCCTGGCTTACCACGATCGAAAGGCTGAAGCTGTCTTTGCCCTTTCGTCAAGCAAGTCCCGGCACTCAGCAAACAAGCAATTACGGCAGGACCCCACAAAAACACTTAGGCCTGTTGGCTGGTTGGCACCGAAACAGGCTTGCAGTGTAGGTGCATCCCAAGAGCACTTATTAAAAAGAGATTGCACCCCCTTGAAGCGAACGCGTAGCAGCCCTCAGGGGTGCACGCAATGGCAGACAAGCCGCTAAGCTTCTTGCAGGCATGTCTGAACTCCTCCCAGTTGCCTCAGGCTCTCAGAACTGCTTTGGTGCCCTGCAGGAATTTTGTTGGGAATTGTCACCCACTTGTGAGCCTTCATGGCTCTGAAAGCCGATCCTCCAAAAGCCAACCAAGGTTAAGCCAAGGCGTACGGAGGCCCAATGATGCACACAACATGCCGAATAAGGCCAACATGATGCTGGTTGAAAAGCAAGTATAACACCAAATAATAAGGCTGAGTGCAAGGTCAAATCCGCGACATTCCGCGACAAATAAGGCCAAACAAGGGATTGTTCCCGAAGCGTCATTGTCTCCACTCCGAAATTATATTATTCAAGGGTCTGTCCCTTAGTCCCCACCATTGGGGGTTGCATACCTTGAAGGGATTTGAGGGTTCTCAAACCGGCGATTCCCTGTGTCGATGACATTCTCAGGTCTTGGCGCTGGCCGTATGGAGGTTGTGCACCGCTTTTTAAATATTAATATATATATATATATTGGGTGCATACTGCCGTAAAGGCTTGTATTGGTGTCCATACCTAACCCCTACTGAACATGCCCGTGACTGATAGTGGCTGCGAAGACTGACATTCAAAGCCGCGAACACCCGATTCGACCGTGCCAAACATCATGACCAAACTCTCATACTCACCGTTAACAGCTCAAATTGCTAACTGCTCCGGTGCGGCTTCCCATGGTTTGTCAAATAGCGGGCCCCCCACCAGTTATGTAACTTGCCGTGGTTGGTTGTTCAAACAAAAGGTCGCTTTGCTTTGCCCCCCCCCAGTCAAGGAATTCGCCCTCTTTGAAATTGAGCTTTGCCCAGTCAAGCCCAGTCCAAGCTGCACATGTTGCTGCCATCTTGGTCCAGCAAAATCTTCCAAGCCCGCAGGAAGCTCCCAAACCTGTCCCGGAGCCTTGGAGCGACAGTTTCTGCCTGCTTGGGGAACGATAAAGGATTCAAGAGAAAGACACCTTGTGCCCTGTCATTTGTCTGCCCTGAGGAGATCGGTGGTCAGAAGCATGCTTAACTTGGCCCTCGGCTAAAATGATGAAAACACCAGCCAAGACAAATGAACGATCTTTGCCAACCCAAAAGCAAAGTTCTTTCTCGGAACAGTGGTGCCTTGGCGGGCATGAGAGGGGTTTGTTTCCACCAGCCATATTTCAGTGCGTCCCCTTGGAGATCATAGCCTATTGATCTCCGAAGGTCTTTCGCTTTGAATTGGTGAGTGGGTCTGATGCTTTGTGGGCCCGGAGGTGCAGGGGCAGCCCCCAGATTCAATCTGAACAACAACAATGGCACCCCCTTGGATAGCCATATCAGTCACATACTGATTTGGAGCCATCGAGCCATAGCAACCCAAAGCCTGTCGGCGAGTTGGGGCAAAGGACCGCAAAGGGCCATGACCTTCCAATGAGTCGCCTATGGCTCTGAAACACTCTGGAAACAAGCCCTTATACCACCTTGATACTTGTCCCCCACGAGGGTGTGTGTCAAAATTGCAGGGTGTTTCACCAAAAGCGAGTGGTTAAGCGTTTGGAAACCCCCTTTGACCCCCACCCCCACCCCTACCCTCCCCTCTAACTCTAACCCCCCCCCCCCCGCCGCAGTGCGAGGCGCTTGGCCTTGAAGGCCTGGGCCGCCTCCGCGTTGGGGGTGGCCAGGAGGAACTCCATGGGCCTCCAGCTGTCCAGGAAGAGGATGTCCTCCATCGGAACTCGTGGATCGGAACCCCCCCGGTGGCCGGAAGAGGCGCATTTAAGGACACGTGTTTCTCCGCACAAAAAAAGATCCAAAGCAAACAGTAGCCATGCGAGATGCCTGCCTTGTCTAGCCTTCTGGACAATCTCCGGTGAATGAGTACCTGAAGCACTTTTGCAGCATGAGCGCTCTGTGGCAGTGGCACGTGCACTCTGGACCTATGAGTCGGCCAAAGCTATGAATCGCAGGTATTTTTGTGCACTTAAGGCAATCCCGCCTTTTGAGAGATGAGTTGCAGCCTCAAAACTCCAAAGTGGTTAGTGGATGTGAACCCCACCTAATCTATGTGCACCATGAAGTTTATGGCCCAACTTGTTTTCCCAATCATTCTAGCTCAACATCACTACTCAGGGCCAACCTAGAGCGCCATTGCGCCGGGTGATCCTCCCAAGGTTGACACTCAGGGCATCACACGCAGTCAATGGAAAACCCAGTTTGAACGGGGGCCTGTCCCGATCCCTTGAGATTGAACCATCCTCCAGGTTGATCTTCTTCTTGCCATGGCGGTCCAGCCTTGGCTGTTGCGTCTCTCTTTTCAGGCGATTCTTGCGAGGTGGGTGTCGCCGAAATTGTTGCCAAAAAATGGCTGGCTGCCGGGTTTAGCCGCAAACATCCTCCCAAAGGCAGCTGCAATTTCACCCCAAGAGCACCAAGTTGTCGGGCTCGAGGAACTGCTCACCAATCAAGCAGGTGAGGGAATGTGCTGATCACACTGTCTTTGGTGCACGCGTTCAACAGGGGTTGCAACATGGGTTGCCAAACTGGTGTGGCCCAAGGAACCCTGTTCCTCAACTTGCCACCCTTCTGTGGTAGTTTAGGATTCAACAATTCCACATCCGCAAGCGTCCGACGGGGAAAAGCATAGGGCGGCGCAACAAAGGAATCCAAGCCCCGGCCAATGCCTGTCCTATGTTTGAAACACATGATTGCTTTTTGCAAGGCCATCCAGCATCAGGAACTGACAGCTCTTACGAACATAGCTGTGTGCTGAAGTCCGGACTTGCGAATAAACAGCAGAGTGACGGACAGTATTTCTTGTTGGTTCATTTGGGTGGTCCTCTCTCCCAGTCGGTAGACTTTACGATACTGCCTGGTTGGTCTCATCTGCACTCGCTACAGTACTACACTTCACCCACCTGACTCAACGACTTCAAGAGCGACCTTCTTCGGAGTCCCGGTTCATCCCCGTATCGGTGGAGTCACTCACTATAGTTGCGTTTGTCTGTGAATAAGAGTTGGAAGTCTCAAACTTGGTTGTGTCCCTTCGATAACCCTAGAGCAGGTGCCGAGACTTACATACGCCCAAGGACTAGCCCCGAAACCTAGCTGGCACGGAATTTGACCCGAAATACTGTACTCATGGTCCTCGCTTTTGTGGAGGGGGGGGGGGGCAGAATCAACTTGGATGTTCTTTTCGTTTTCTCGGAGGATTCAGGGAAAGGGAGGCACACCCACAACTCCCGGTCCGGTAGACCCGGTCGAGTCGAACGGGTCATATGATCAAAGGGACGCGTGGAAGAGGAGCTTGTCCCGCTGCTCGTAACCGAACTCCTTGAGCGCTTGGCTGAACTCTGGCTCGCTGACAAACCTCGATGGAAGGTGCGCCAAATAGAAGCTCAGCTCGTTTGTAAAAATGGAGTGTGTAAGTCATAAAGGGGGCTGACAAAGTAAATCAGACCCCTTATATTGTTGTCAATCGGAGGTTTCTTAGCGAACTTAAACGCAATCCACACTGAACAAAGTAATCGCCCTGAGTACTACCCCGGTGTTGAATAAGGCAGCTGATCCAACCATTATGTTCTTTCAAGATAATTTAGCTGGCAGTGCATCTATTCAGCACCCAGGCGTGGCATATGGTGCCTGATTGATCCCGCCAATAATTGCCTACAAAGTATTACAAAGTCCAGTGGTAATGCTTGTTCCCATGTTCCGTACTTATAATGGGTAAGGACAAGCAAAATACCTGCCTACCTTACCCTTTGTCCCGGACTAAAACTATCTTTTTGAGATATTGGCCCGTACGTCATAATCAGCTCCTCCTTTTCATAAACGCACCTTACTAAGAAATACTATAAAACAAAATCCCAGACCGCCGGGTCCCGAATACTACTTTTACAATATGCCATATGCCAATTCAAAACAAATACTAAACTTGCGGATTTCTCACCCAGACCAGCCCCAGCCGTATTAGAGGCTAATTAGTCCAGGACCCAAGCTCCTTGCACCAACCCAATACCAGATTCTACATGGATACTTGCCTTTTAAATATTCAACGTTTATTTCTAGAATTGTAACTCATAATGCCCTCGAACTGGGGCGCCCTCAAAAGCAACCCCATTTGTAGCGAACCTCAAATCAAAGGACGAGATCACAGTACGCTCCAGAGGCCTGACCCTAGCAGTAGAACCCAAAGGGCGCAAGAGCTCCCCGCGGAAAGCGAACACAGACCCTGCAAACAAGGGTCCCACAGAAAGTTCTTCTACACATGGGACCTACGTCATGGGTGTTCGCTCGAGTGAGCTCACCAAAATAGGATTGGGTCCGGCGCACTCTCAACTTTGATGTGACCAGGAAATATGTCTCAAGCTTCTGGACCTACACATGGCACTAGCCGCAAGACGCAGGGAGGCCAAAGTCAGGAAAGCGCACCAAAATGGAGCACTGCCTGACACCCAGGCGCCTCCGGCGTGCCTGTTCTTTCTCGGGATGAGATCCATCCAAATTGAGTTGACTGCAAAAGCGTGGCCTCTCGCATTTTGGGTGGATTTGTTTGAAGAACAAACATAGCAGGCTGCGACGAGCATAAACTTCGAACTCCATGGGGGTCGCAGGGCCCGTTGGATCCACATTTTGGAAAGTCAACAAATCCAAATCCTGCGACACCGAACGAGGCCATCCTGCCTACTTTGCCTCTTTAAAGAGGGCATTTACTTCGCATGACGCAAAGGCTGAGCCCATAGGCGAATGGAGGCCCGCCTTTCACGAAACCGGAAAGTCAGAAAGCTGGGCTCAAAAGGGCCGTCATTTTGATAAGCTTTGGCACATTGTGTCTAAACAACGGGACCCCTCCAGGTGGTTGGTTCCATTTGGTTCCCTGCAACACTCCAACCTGGGCCGTGTTAACCCACCAAGAATGGAGAGGGGGGATCCAAACTCCCTTAAACGCAGCAAAAAGGGAATCTCCGACTTCAAAATATGAAGAAGAAAAACAACTACATGTCTGCCAAACCCCAGGGTACACCAAACAAGCATACCAGTATGGTGCGATTCTGCTTCATATTCAGTCACTCATAAAACCTAAAACCAGATCCAAGGAAACCGTGCGCCTCCGGAACCCCCGCTTGCAAATGAAGGCGCTTATTTCCGTCAAGGTCCAAGGCCTTAGCGCGCTCGGCGTGCGCCCAGACTTTCGGTGGGACAGCAAAGCACGTGTGTTTTCTTGGCTGATTGGAACGGGAACCCCCGTCCAACATTTGCTGGAACAAGGGGCATCACTGGGAGTCTGGAGGTGCCCTAAGAAAATACCCCAGAAGCCCAAATGAATTATGAATGGGTACATAAAGGGTGCAGAACCACTTTTACCAGCATGATTCCAGGGGCACCAAGGGGGACATGGAGCATACTCATGCGTCATGTGTGAACTTGGCGAAGGCTTCATGAACGAACTCCGAAGGATTTGGGTGTTCGTGGCATCTAAATACTGTAAGACCGACAACCGCATATATATATATATATGTGTATGGTCCAGCCCTATATATATATATTGCCTTATCGTGGGGGGGGGGTAGTTTGGGGGTGTCTGGGGTCCCTGAGTTCAGAATCACACGTCGGACCGCTGACCTTCCACCGAGGTGCTGCGAAGGTCCGCGTCGCGTTGCCGAACTTCTGCATGACGAATTGGCCTCGTAGAGGCTCTGCAAACGCCCAGTTGGAACCAGTGACCCGAACTAGAAGAAGGGGAACCATTTCCTTTCTTGGGTTGACCATGTTTAGGAAGTCGCAGAACCAAAAGGGCAAATTACGGTATTCAGCACCCGGGCTATTTGGGCATGTCTTCAAATCCAGCCCTCAAAAATGGCCGGTGTCCTTACTAATGGTACCAAGCGACAGTCCACCCACACAAAGGGTTCGGCAGGGACTTTCTTGGAAGGGGTTCTGATCGAATGGTCCAGGTCGAGCCTTCGTCGCGAGGAAAGCATCCCCCACCGGTCTGACAACCCATGCCAGTGAATCAAAGGAAAACGCTATATAAGAGGGTGATACTCGGTCACATGACCTGAATCATGGAGGGCGGGACAATTAAGAAACAAATGCCAAGAACCAAACCACAGCACAGCTTTTCCAACAAGTCCAGTGTAACATGTTCATTTTAGGGTCAACTGGCAAGGTCCAAGCAGCACTCGTGACAATTGCCGCATGCTCCATCCTTTTCCAGATTAATGAAAACACCAAGAACAGGTCACATCCTGAAAACGAGTTGTCTTTGGGGCTGCGCCCAAATAAGCCCACAAGAAGGCCCGTGAGGCTCTTGTGGAAAGTGCTGAAAGATATCCTGGCCACTGGAGGTCACGTTCATACATTCAGCCTCTGACCTTTGAGCGCAAACTGCAAGTGCGCACCCCTTTTGGGTTTAACTATCGATATCCAAAAGGTGTTCAATCGCAAACACCTGCACCTTATAAGATAGGTGTACATATGTTTGCCAATGCATGCATGCCCACATATTTTATGCCTTTACATGTCAATATCAATCCTCCTCAGGGAGGCTTCCCCACGACATGATGAGCTGACTTTACCCCAGCTGAGCGTGTCATACAATGGGGACAACGCAAGCAATACGGTGTTCCTATTGGCTTCCTCCGAAAGCAAGGTGAAAATGGCACCCTCACAGCCAGCACGCGCCCGTACAAAGTATGCTTGCTGGCCGTCCAGCTTTCGCGCTTCAATTTCACGTCGAGGCACGGAAAAGGGCCAAGCCCTCGGCCGCTTTGAAGTCTAACTCCTGTAGTCTTGTCCCAAAGCAGGCGGACGAAACAGGGCAGCCGACACCGGTGTTTGAGATGTATACACACGTTGCCGTCTATACGTAAGTGCATATACGAGTACAACAGTATGCTGCAAGGCAGTCAAATGGGTTTTTGTTTAATCGCCATGCAACAAGTGCAGGCCCCTTTTTCTGTCTAGTGTAGGGCATCTTGGCCTCTGCTTTTCTTTGTATAAACAGAGGCACATACACACACATTTCCCACGCGCAGAGTCCATGCTTCTTCTTGGCTGATCTGAGATGTGGGCAAGCAAGGTGGGACAACCCTGTCATGGTGAGTATATACCCAGTCTCAGGGTTGGCTCAGCGATATTCAGGGTGGGTTAGGGGCTGCTTGTTTAGGGCAAGGCAAGCTTGGGTAGGTTTAGGGTTTGGGTGGGGATTGGGTGGGTTTAGGGCTTGGTTAGCTTTGGTGAAAGGTGGGTTTAGGGCCCGTTTAGGGTGTGTTGAAGGTTGGTTTAGAGCTTTTTGCTGGGTGGAGGGTGGTTTTAGGGTTGGCTAGGGCGGGTTTAAGGCTTCATTAGGGTTTGGGGCGGGCTTAGGTTTGGTTTGGTGACGACACAAGTTAAAAACCGGCGTCAAGCTAAAATGGGGTTTGGGGCGGGCTGCGGATTTCTTTGTCGCAATTGGAGGGGACGCAGCCCCCCCCCGGTGTTGCTGCATGATGATGAAGATGTGGAAAGCCAAAGGCCACAAAAGCCACCAAAAGCCACAACCGTCCTGAAAACAACAATGCTGTAAAAATTGCCTCCGTTTAGAATGCTTCTTCTTTTGGAAACCCGGAAGCAAGCCTCCCATCTTGGGGTTCAGCCGGGCTTAGGAGAAACACAGAGGGGCACCAACATTTAACGCGTGGCTCCCTTTGGTTTGTTGCACGAGACTCAAATCAGATTCCCCCGATTGGCAGCTTGGATTGTTCGCAGGCTAGGGGGGAAACTCTCCCATCTGCACTCCACAAGAACCAGGGCGTCTAACCACCACAACCCCCAATTCAGACCACCCACCAAGGGTTACCTGATCAAAGGGCCTGGACCCTTGAGGCCATATCTCCTCAATGCCGATGCTGCCGCTGCCGTCTCGATCCAGCTGCTCCCATAGGCCTTTCACATCCTCAGAGGCTTAGCGAACGGATCCTTTTTCGGGCAGTCTCCAGGCTGCGTGCTGGAGCTGGGAAAACATAAGCGCAACTGTGCGTCGCCTTTTGGGTGTCCTTTAAAAGAAAACAACAACTGTGGGCTATATATATATATATATATATAGCACCCGGCATGAAATACGGGATGCCTGTTGTTTGAGCGGTGGAAAGCATGGGGGCATGGGGATAAGCATCCAAAATAATCCGATCCCAGCAATCATCCTCCCTGCATCCTCTTGGGGAGAAGTTCATGATTTGTTGGGCTATGTAACCCAAGTGCGCCCAAATTTGCGCCATTCTTGGACCAATCAGGCTTTGTATTCGCACTTAGGCATTCCCTGGCATGGATGGCTGGGAAGTTCCAACATCGGGCGAGCCTCCACGTCCGTGCCATTCAAACTTAGGAACAGAAACAACAGCCACCTGGCACCCATTCCAGGAGGTCTTGAAGCGCTCTATTTTCAAACTAACGAGCCGGAGGAGGTCCAAGCCTTGTCATAAAAATAATCGAATGTTATCAAAGGGCAACTTGAGGTCTTAGCAAACTACTGCAAAGTCGCACACATGAAAGCACATTTTACGTCAGAGGTGGTCATTATCAGGGAAATCTGTCGCAAATCAAAATCCCAGATTCTGCTAACAGTTCCCTTGCCCAATTAGCCCAGGGCCACGAGAACCTGTTTTGGGTGCTTGCTTTTAAAGGGAAACCGCCCCTGCAAATACAAAAAAGGCAACTCAACAAATCAACCCCTGGTGAAAACCGTGCCTTTGAAAGCATCTGAGCGTTTGACAAGCCGAAATGATATATCATTGATTCTGTCCACATCTCAGAAAAGGTCCAATCTCACGTGGAAAACATGCTACGTTGAAATGTCCAACCCTTAAACCGTACATGTTCAGGGGCCTCAGGACATCTAACTCCAACAGCAAACTGGCGCCAGGTCACAGTGCGCCACTTGAGGTTCACACAGGCCTCGGCGAAACAAGCCAAGTCGTGTTCTTGGCAAACCCAGGTGAAAAGAAAGTCAAGAAGGGACGACTAGAAACTGGTGATTGGAACACCTCCATTTTGCTCGCCTCGTTGGCGACTGGGTGAACGGTCATCCCCTGCTCGTTTGATGGTCGCTTGAACCCAGCCAGCATGGGAAGGGAGTTTCAGGAAAGCCTCTGCAACAAAACTCCCCTGAGGTCTGGGTTGAAAACATCCCAAAGGGTGGCAATTTTCTCAAAGATACACCTTGCTTTATAATCATGTGTTTCTAGCACTTCCTGGGTGGGTTGCAAAACGCCAGAGGGCGTCCACTAGCAAAACCCAAGGGAGAAGTGGCATCCTTAGATTGCATGAAGAGCAGGCATGAAACCTGAAAAAGCGTTCTCTGAAAGGAAGTGGTCTTCCAGGGGGCGGCCTCATTCAGGCCTCATGTTTGCTGTTCAGATGACAAACTCAGCAAAAGTCGAACAACGGCCCCTTCTGATCTCCTTGACCAGGCCCCAGAACTTGCGGGTAAACAACTCACTTACAGTGACTTCCCCACCCCGCAGCTGACGTAAAAGCTGCCATGAACGCCAAGACGGCATGTTGAACACCCATATCTTTCACAATAGATGGCTGGTGATCTTAATTACCTTCCCATGTCCCAACTCATGAAGGAGAAGGCTGCATGTGAATTTGAGGAAGAATGGTCGTGTCCTGCCAAAGCGCCTTCTTCTGCAAAAACGTCCCAAAGTGAACGCTGCGACTAGTAGTCACGAGATCATGGGAATTTCTGTGACCTTTGCAGACAGGTGACAGAAGGGGCTAAATAATCAAAGAAACGTTCCCATGAGTCTGATGGAGTCAGTTGAATTGTGCCCCAATAAACCAATGTGCTCGGGCCCCTATAGCATGGCTTCCCATCCCCTGCGCCTTGAAAAACTGGCCCTTGTGCAGCATCATCGCGTCGCCTGCGACGGTTCTGCAAAACGTGAAGTGCGCTTGATTTCTCCGAACTTGTTTGGTTAAGGGCCTATAGTTTGAATGGGGGCGTGGGGTACTTGAAACCAAGTCGAAAGTGACGACCATAGGAGCAGAATGCCACCGTAGTACTCAATTAGGATCTGAGGAGGGGGCAGTGCAGTGGCAACTCTCAGGCTCTCCTGCTACCCGTATCTCAAAACACCCGCCGGTGGAAGAACAATCAACACGCCAGAAACCGAGATCTGGGTGTTGCGGCGTTGCTCAATTTTGCGGGCCTCCAAAAATGGAGCGTGTCCACACAGCCCCCTTTTCAGCATCGCAAGAAGTTCATGCCCCCAATTTCAATTGCGAATGCAAGCCCGCCGCAAGGCCGCACCTGCCTTCCACCAGGGATTGCCGCCAGGCTCGCAACAAGCTGCCATTGTGCGTTTTCCGCAGGAAGCGCTTGAAGTCTGCCTGAGTCATTCCCCAGTCCCCAGTTGCCGAGCGACCCTGGTAGAAAAAAATATCTTTTTGCGGGTGAACACTTTTAGACGGAAACCCATACAAGATAAGGAAACCGGGGTGCAACTGAACAACTTGGTTCCACATTGGCTTGCATCTCCCTGAGACTTGCCCGAAAAACAGCCACTGGCCGAGCATGACTTCCGTCTGCCTGTGATTGCGCCTCTCTTGCACTTCAGTTTTCCCCTGTTTTGCGGTTTGGCGGTTGGGGCTTCATGCCCCCTTGCCAAGGACAAAGGGATCAAATCCCAAAACCACCAATGAAACCACAACTAGAATTGGGGCAACCTGATGTATGACAGCATCTCCAGCTGAAACAAACGTCAGAATCACCCCCACCCCACCCATGTGTTGTTATTTCAGTTACCCACGAAGGGACACGTACGGGAAAGGATTTTTTTTCTTTGGGGTGCGTCCTGCCGTCCATACATAATTTCGGGGGTGGCCCAAAGAACACAGGGGTCCCCAAAAGGTTTGGTTTCCTGTTGCCCCCCTTTTCAACACAAACCAAAGGCCATTCTGAGAAACTCACACGCGAAAGACACCAATCAACAAAAACTGGCAATAGACAAGTCTGGCGAGTTGAGTCTGGCACTGCTCGGGCCCAACTTCCGTCAAAAGCCTGGTTCCTACGACTCAATCAGCACCACTGGCATCTCCAAGATGCGAGATTTCCCCGCGGATCCTGCACATTAAGGCAGCCACCAGCAGGCCCCGGTGGGGTTGTGTTCAGTTGCAACCAATTCTGTGATACCACTGGGGGTCCAGCAACTGCTCCCTTGCCCATTAGCATGAAACCAAGGAGGAGGTTTCGCAAAGGGAGCTCTATGTTTATCTGGGGGGAATCCCTTAAAGGGGTGGCTGCTCGAGATCACAATGGAGAACAACTCCTAGTCCCTACCGGGGGCCCCAACGGAAAGTACCCAGCCTTTCAGCCAGGCCCTAGGTCGAATTGCTAGTAGCATCGTTGGGACCCGTTTTCTGGGTCTCTCCCGCCCAAGTTAAAGGTCTAACCTTTTGTAGGTTTAACGGAAAAGTCAGTGGTTTGCACAAGGCGCTAAGGCCATGTGCTTCCCTGCGAGTTCAAGGGGTTGAAAAGTTCGAGAACTCTTCAGTTCAACCCTCCTATAAGTTCATAGAAGTTCCAGGGTTGGCTTAACGGGTATGCTCAAAATGTCTTGGAAAAAGGGAACGTGAACAAGCCATGGGAGCCACACTCAAAGGACAGGAACGAATCGAATCGTTAGTGGGGCAAACAAGGGAGGGTTCCCCAAATTCACAACCCCTGAAAATTGAATTACAAGGTCATACAAAAGCTGCCCAAAAAGGGAAACAACAGTCAAATGGACCCTGATTTGACAATATCTCTCTCTCCCTTTCCGTCACCATCTCGAGTGAGACTGATGTGTGACTCATGTCCGTCGCGCAGGGCTCTGCTTCCCAATGGTTCAGAAATTGCAAAATGTGTTTTTTGGGGGGAAGCAGTTTGGCCTGCGAAGACTGAGGTGGAGGTAGGGGTTTGACAGCAAATTGTATCTGTTTGTCTGTGTGTGCGTCTGTAGTCTTCCGTCTCTGTTTCTTCCCCTCTGCATTTAGAATTGTTCAATTCTCCCTGTGCATTTTCATACAGATATGCATTTTATATATTCAAACTGTGTGCACATATGGCATACCATTTATCGCGCACAGGAGCACAGGAGTGCTAAGTTGGATGCTCGGGCAAAGTGGCAAGCCCAGCCTCCAACTGTACTTCCCCAGCACTTGATGGACAAGCATCCCTTCCCCAACAACTTATCAGGAGATAGGGTCGAGCTGGGTTGGGCGACCACCCCTCAACAACTTTTGCACGGCCGCAAACCCCAATCTTGGTTTTCCTCTTTAACTTTGGTGCAAAAGCTTTGGCACCCTGTGAAAAGAAAACGAGCAGAAACATTAGGGCCCTGAGCAGAAAGGTTCCCTCATAGGTTGGTTAACGTATCCCCCCCCCCAAAAAAAAAGAAAAGAACATATTTTGAGTGGCTTCGGGTCCAAAAATGAAGAAGCACATCCATTTTGAATCTTGGGCTTAGTAGGGCTTTCTAGGCCTTAGTAGGCCTTAGTAAGGCTTAGTAAGTCTCAATCATTTTGTTGGTGCTTCGAGTGCTAGCAAGGCTCAGCAACTCAACTCTCACTAAGAAATGGCCACCACTCAAATTTGATCATGAGTGCTACTGAGTTTGGCTGAGTAGTTGGAACCGTAATGATTCCTATGTGTGCTGTCATTTTCGTAGCGGTCTTTTGTGATGCAACTGCGCCGCGCACTGAACACCTGTGAATTGAACATCAGCGAATGTTGACCTAGTAGCACTCAAAAGCACTCAGTAGCAATCAGCAAGCGCTCAGTAGCGTTCAGAAAGCGCTCAGTAGCAGTCAAAAGGCACTCAGCAGCACCCAGTAACACTGAGGAACACTCAGTAATACTCAGTAGCACTCAGTAACACTCAGTAACACTCAGTACCACTCAATTTCAACCTAATCCAGCACATGTTTTGAATTCCGGGCTCAGAAAGCACTCAGTAAAACAGCACCTTCTTGGAATCCTGGCTTAGCAAGCACACTCAGTAGCACTCAGTAGCACACAGTAGCACCCAGGACGTCTCAATCACCCTTCAGAACACAGCACATGGGCGATCCAGGCTCACCGAGCATTTAGTAGCACGCAATGACGCTTCGAGCCACGGGCAAGCTTCAACAAATCCAAGCTTTGCTATGCAAAATTGAAGCACCCCCCATATGCCAAAGGCTCAGTGTGCTCAGTAACACTCGGTGAGTCTTACTGAGATTTTAACATTTGGGAGGGGGGATGCGGGGGGGGGTTTACTTCCCTATGATTCACAGAACCCTTCCATCAGAACCCCTTCTAAGAAGGTTTAACTTTACAATCTCCACCAAAATGGTCTTGCCACCAAGTTTAAGGTCCACAAACTCAGGAAGTGAGTCTAAGCACCTTTCTTCGGAAAGGCCTGCGGGGCCGGGAGGCGTTTCCCCCTTAAAATATGCGAAGACGAAACACGAAGCCTGTCCTTGGTGTGCTTCTTGGCCATGGCTCGGATCTCCAGATGCGCCTTGCGGCTCAAAGCCCCAACCGCTGCGCTGGGAAGGTGGATGAAACAAAATCAAGGACTTCTTGAAACCTTAAAGGAATCAAATAGCCACCTGCTTTGCAAGGGAATCCTCTAAATCAGGGTTGCTGCTAAACAGCAGGTTGGAAACAACGAATTACGCACGCCCGCAGAACAAAACAATGTATTACTGTATTACCCATCCCCTTCTGTCTTCGTGACTCAGCCAGTCATGTTCAAAGCATGGCCCAGTTGCCAAACAGTCAACGCAAATCCACACAAAACCCCAAGGGTTGCTTCAGGCAACCAAGTCCAACTGACACTTTCGCTTTGGTCAAGCCATATGGCCAAAACACGCTCAACCTGGCAGGGGCACACCAAGGGGCTGACAGTCTCATGGGGTAGCCTGTGGAGTCTGTGGAGGAAACTCATCATCTGGTGCACAAACCGTTTCATACTAATTCGCACGAACCTTCGGTGCCAATGCCCGGATCTATAACGCAGATGCTGCAGGGATAATGTTGCGCTTCCGGCTCCTCGCCCAGTAGTGTTTGCCCTGCCTCTGTGCCTGGTTTCAGCCCCTTCAAACTTTCCACTTCAGCAGGTGGGCCAATGGCCCGTTCATCACTGAGAGCGGTTCAAGGACATAAGGACATGAGGTCAACCCACAGTTTCTACAAATGGCAACCTGAATAGGGCAAGTAACCTGGCCGGCGTTATCCGCAAAGTGTTCCCACATACGTGACCCCCCCCGCCAAACAACGCTCAGACGTCCTGTAAACGCGCGCTTTTTTTCGTTCTTTCCCCCCTGTAATGGCCGCAAAAACGCGCAAATCATATGGTTTTTCAGAGGTTTCGAGCAAGTCCAGCAAAGGGTGGGCCGGATGTCCGAGTGGAACTGCAAGAGCACGGCCTATCCTTAGGTGACTCCAAATCAAAACCTGTTATTTAAATGGTCGCACTCCCAGAACCATGTACAGAATTAGAAAGGCTGACACCCCCACCCATTAAATTTGTTGGCATTATCCCTTAACTTTCTTCTACCCGGGTTTCGAGCAAGTTGGTCAAGTGCCTCTCTGACAAGCAAAGATGGTGTTCTTACCATTTGGCTGGCATGGATGCAGTGCTGCGCGGGTGCACTTGAACGGGTGTTCTTACCATTTGGCTGGCATGGATGCAGTGCTGCGCGGGTGCACTTGAACGGGTGTTCTTACCATTTGGCTGGCATGGATGCAGTGCTGCGCGGGTGCACTTGAACGGGTGTTCTTACCATTTGGCTGGCATGGATGCAGTGCTGCGCGGGTGCACTTGAACGGGTGTTCTTACCATTTGGCTGGCATGGATGCAGTGCTGCGCGGGTGCACTTGAACGGGTGTTCTCACCATTTGGCTGGCATGGATGCAGTGCTGCGCGGGTGCACTTGAGCGGGCGTGCCTATCGTGAGTGTGAATTTCCATATAATTCCCGCGTTTTACGTGGTAGTGGCCGGACATGCACGAAACCTGTGAAAAACCATATGATTTGCGCGTTTTAGCGGCCATTACAGGGGGGAAAGAACCAAAAAAAGCGCGCGTTTACAGGACGACCGAGCCCCAAACAATTGTTTTTAGTTTCCTGTTCCGTTGTTGGACGCCATTGGGTGTTATGTATGCATATATGCATAGAAAACATAATTATACACATATGTAAATATCTGGCTATGACTTTGTTGATGGCATGTGAAGCGCACAAATCGTGTTACGGACGCATGCTGCTGCGGTCCTTAATGTGTTTTTCCGGTATAAACGGGGAACAGTGCTTGACACTTCCAGCTCCAGCTCGACAGTCGCAACTTTTCAGTTGCACCATGTAGCATAGAACGGCAAAGTGCATTTCCACAAAGAGCGCCTCCGCAGCTCCAGCGCGCAATGTCCAGCAAAAACACGCTCTGCAACAATCTGCTCTGCAGGCACGCGTGGGAGATCACTCAGTCTGGGCATGCATCGGGGTACGCAACAAGGGGAGATGCAACCAGCCAGGCAGTTGTGTTAACGTGAGGTATGTAACGAAGGTGTGCAACGAGGGGGTATGTAATGAGCCGGCAGGTCTTGTTGCATAGTGTATGTAACGGGGTACGCAGCCAATGTCCGCCGCGGGCCCCAAGAACATCACTGCCACAAGCAAATAAACATGACCATATATACATATATATATATATAAGTTTATGGGTCAACCGGCCACTAAAAGACGAAAAGTTGAAAAACTGTCATCCAAGGGGCCCAACCTGGATAATTATATGTTCATATCTGGCATCATACAACCTATACAAAAGGGCAACTTGCGCCCCACTGAGCTGAGGCGGTTCATACAATCCCCTCTTCCCAACAATCAAGGAAGCGGGCAGGGTTCCCAGAATTGCTCCCAGTGTACAAAAACAATTCGAGGCCTGCTCCTTGGCCTTCAATCGCCGCTTCCAGCGGCGCATGTCGAGATTGAGCCTGAGCTAGCCAAGAGGCCCACGGGCCAAAATTGCAAAAGGGCCTCCCTTGCAAGCGAAAGCAACTTGAGGTTGCTTAAACAATAGTCGTAGCTTCTTGTACTGCATGTTCAATTTAAACATAAATATGCGCAGCTAGGCAAAAGTCCGAAATGTCGGCTTGGCCATGGCCAGCAAACTCCACGGCTCACCTCCTGGCTCGACCGAGAGAAGTCCATTGCTTGCTATCTTCCCCTTCCCGCGAGCCGCACTTTCACACTTTCAGCCTGCAGGGAAGCCGAAGAAAAAAGAAAAACAAATCCGGGGATCGCCCCATTTGAAGACACACCTGATTGCTGGCGTCCGACTCGGTCAAACAAGGCATGGCCCCTCGTGCAACTTGCGGCAAAGGCTAGAGAAAAGAAAGCAGTTGACCATCTAAATCTTACTGCCGTGGATTGGCCAAACAAGTCTACATTCACCGCAAAACTGGTGAGAGTATCAAGCCCAATAAACCGGGAAGTGGCTATGAGTTTGAATCCGGAAGCAGCTCCGAAGTGGACGGTGAAAAATAAATCCCCACCTATGATGCCCACCAACGGGCCCTCCATGAAAAGGAAAAAGCACACCCAAGTGAGAAACGCTAGCTTTCTGCCAAGCAACCACCGCATGTCGATGGCAGTGACGCACTTGCCGTCGATACCTGGGCTGACATGAGTTCAGGGGATGCCAAATTTCCGGGTGGTGGGTGCGTGCGGAGGTGCGTGCTTGGGTGGGTTGGTTTGGGTGTGTGGGTGGGGTTTGGGTGTGGGTGTGGGTGTGTGTGGGTGTGTGTGTGTGTGATTGTGATTGGGATTGTGTTTGTGCGTTTCTGTGTGTTTGTAAGTGTGTGTGTGTGTGCCTGTGTGTTTGTACCCTGTCTTGGGTTGGTTTACAAAGGGAAATCAATGCTTTTGACACACACCCAGGGGTCTAGACAAACTTAAAGAAGAAAAAAACACAGCCCCGTTTGGCCTCCTTTGGCGCGTAGTACACATGTGTGGGTATTTGGCACCCAGTTGCCCATCTAACGACAACACCAGAAGGAAGGTCGCGTCAAACTGCTCTAAACGAAACAGAGGAGACATGGGGAACCGTGTCCATGGCCGGAAATGTTTGTGCCTCGCGTGCCAAGCCTCTTCTCTTTTAAAACTTACAAACAGAATGCACGTTACATTCCTTCCAAACTGGAAATCAGCAACGACCTTTCTCACCGAACCCCCAGGTGAGCTGGCTACAATTGGCCCCGAAAATGCACACGCTGCTGATGCTTGCGCACATCGATTTCCACGTGCAAAGGGCAGTCTGGCGCGTCACGCTGCTCATCTGTACAGCTTACTTTGCCAACTCAACATTCCATCGGCCCCAAAACAACAAAACAACTCGCTGGGCACGATGGTTCCCCTACTTCACCACTGGGATTTCCTGGCTTTCACTCGCTCGCCTTCGATCCCCAGCTGAGTCATAATCAAAACCTGGTGTTCGAACGGTGTACCCAAATCTGTGTAAGGAATTCAACTACGGCCGCAACTATTTGTGGCTGGGATCATCCCTTACTAACCTTCATCCACCCGGGTTTTGATTGTGGCTCAGCTGTCCGCGGCTTTCAAAGGTCGAGGTGCTGAAGGAGTCAAAAAGATACTCTTCCTGGCCGAACTCCCAGCCGTTACCAACCTGGTCGATTCGTCGCCGCGCCAAGGAAACCCGGTTCAAAGTGGCCAAAAAGCGGACATTTTGATCAAACGCCAGAAACCCAAAATTGAGTTTGGCTCCCGGAAACCAATTGTCCATGGGGCATAACCAAAGGCAGGCATAAACCCGGGGTGCTTGACTTCCCCAAAACAGGGGAACCTAATTGAGCTTACCTGGAAGGAACTGACTTAACAAATAAGCCCTGTGTGTGGATGAAGCGCCGTGGCAGTTGCCCGGAGACTAGGTCTGTGGGCAGTGGGCACGCAAGAAACAACGACTCGAAAAGAGGCACCAATGCGTGAAAGCCCATACAAGCGTCAATTCTTCGACAAGACGCCCAAGCACCTAAGCCTGCAACAGCCTCGCCCTGGGAGCTCGCCACAGCCACACGCAATAAATGACAAGCACACCCACCAACTGAACCCCCGCTAGTAGCCAATTCTGGCTTAGATGCGCTGGTCATTTCTGCTCTCACTTCTGCCCGGCCGGGAATCCAGGTTCACCCTGTGGCTTTGACAACGAGTGAGAGAAAGAGGAAATAAGGGGTCATTTGAACACAACAAATGAGAACAGGCCCACCAACTGAGCACCCGCCATAGCCACACACCACACCACAAATGACCATTTCCAGACCCACGCCATGCAGGTGTTGATTCTTGGCGCCACGGTTGACCCTGCACGGGTTGACAACTGGCTCCAACGCAGTTATAGGATAGGCTTTTACAAGCTTCTACATGCCTTACTATAACCCCTATAAACCAGGCAGTGGAACCACCTACATTGTCTAACTTGTGATATGTGCGCGTCTGAATGGGAGCTGCCTCGATGGCCTTTTGACGCTAGACTTTTCATGCATTGAGTGCGGCAGCCAAGAGGCCAGATCCGCCTCGAAGTGGAAGAGATCGATCTTAACGTCCTGAGATGTTCCACTTTAGCGTTGCTCCGGATTTTTTCTACCGTCCCTTTGGGCTCTGGTTGGCTGTAGCTTGGAGCACCCTCCGCACTTGAATGACCGGTGACCAAAAAAGCAAGAAGGCGTCCCTGAAAAACTGGTATCGCCTGAGGCCGGATGTTCCTGAGGCACTGCCACTGCAGCTCCGAAGCAAACTGGATGTTGCATAGGGCTTCACTATTGTTCCCGCTTCGACATTTTCACCATTTCTGATTGGACATGTCCTTGTGTGTCATGATCAACGGACAATGTTTGATGCAGCGGTAACCCACTGGCTACAGGGACCCCGAAACAACCAAGGTTGAGCCCACAAACAAACACCCGCACTGACTATGATGATCGCACCTGAAATTAGAACGAGCTCACCCAAGATCAAAGGATTCCTTGAGTCTGGTGTGTGATGACTGCGCAGTACGGTGCTCACGGTGCGCATAAACCTGACGCATCAATAGGGAACAGGGGCGTGCTCCCCCAAACAAAAGTGAAGGATCCCCTTTGAATTACCCCTAAATACGTTGTTGAGGCAAAAACCAAAAGTCACCTCGTCCCCTTCATTCTAATTGACCCAATACTAAACCAATGCTAAACTTCTGGCAGCCTTATTAGGGTGTACTTGCAGCACTTACCTTGATCAGCCTGCTGCTAACGTCAAAAATTAGGATACAATCCGAATGTGAAAGTTGCATTTCTACTCCTCCAGTGGCCTGTGGTACATTTCGCTAGGAAAACAAGAGGGGATTCTAGGACCCTCATAATGCAGGCCGAGACTTCGCCAGCCCCAGTGCATGTGTCACACCCCCCTCCAGTGACCAGGGCGGGAAACTCCGTGCCACGTGTCCCCTGAACGCAGGAAACCTCCAGGCAGTGGGAGGGATACCAAAGTCATATGAGTGGCTGGCAGCTTTGAATCAGCAAGCGAATGGAGTCAAACATGTGCTAGCTGCGAGCTCCACCTGCCCCTATTCTTCCCAACACAACACCATTGCAAAGGTGCATTGGCTTGTTTGTTTAAACATGAACAATGGGATCAGTATGACTTGTCCCCAACCCCGTGAGGCACTCACGGGGTCACTATTCTTGTTGGGTACTTTCATCAGTACCTCATTTGCCCAGGCCGCCTTTCTGACCTTTTGGTATTGTAGGATTTCAACTTGTTGGTTTTGTAGTTCTGAGCTCTGACCCCGTTTGGATTTGTAGTTCTGAGCTCTGACCTTTGGGTTTGTAGTTCTGACCTTTTGGTTTTGTAGTTCTGAATGTGTTTTTCTTTGTAGATCTGACCTTTTCGCTTTGTTGTTCTGACCTGTATTTTTGCAGCTACCTTTTGAGCAGGTTTGTATTGCGTACTCTGAACCAGCAAGCAACAAGTCTAATTATGGCTCTGACGCGAGGCTGGGTCCAGGCTGAGTTTTGTTCTCTTTCTTTTTCTGGAAGCATTGAGCGCAAAAGCCGCTTGTGTTGTCTGGCTCGTTCAGAACCAATCCTTGATCTTGATTTCAGATGGCAAGGCCTTACCTTCGGTATGGATGGTCCTGGACCCCTTTTGAGGCAATTTAGCAACCACTATAAGTATCATAGGGGTTCCTGAAGGAACCCAAGCCATGCCAAAGTAAGGAGTTACGGCATTACCCCTTTTTGAAACCTATTTTCACTCGGCCAGTTGGTCAAGTAGTGTGAAATTCAAATCTAACATGATGACATCATAAGGGGCAATACATGGCAATACGCTTCTATTTGCTTTAATGAGTATGTGTTAAGATTGAATATTGAAACGCGTCCCAAGTCGACACTGCAACTTGGCCGCATAGTTCCTCTCTTGGAGTCGTTGTGAAATGCAAAGCCGAGGGGCGTCCACCTTCACCCCGCTCAGCCGGGACATCCGCAGAATGCAGTCCTCCAAAGGGAACTGTGTGTTTGTGTTGTGGGTTTGCTTTCTTTTGTATAGAAATCAAGATGCGTGCGTTCCCTAAGACCTCATCTCACATCCGTCGGGTTGCTCAAAAGCATCCCCATCATTATCTATTGCCTGGGTTAGTGCAATGGCATGTCTCGCATTCCAGATCCAAATAATTTAAGATTGGTTTCAACTGTTGGCTTTCACATGAGCAAACTCCAACGTGACAACTGTAGAGCCGCCATCTGCGCTCCGAGCTTCCGCTGTGCGCATTGTTCCAAAAAACACTGGCTTGGACAACTCTCAAGCGCGGAAAACTTGGTTCCCGATCCCGAGTTGACTAACAACATCTCAAGAAGCTTCTCAAGGATTGTTTGCATTTTTCGAGCGGGACAGCAGGTTTTCGGCTTGGGCTTCGCTGTTTGGCGTAAGCTTACCGCGCTGAACACCCCATTGAGCATTGGCTTTGAAGCCTGGGAACCCTGATACCCAGGGAGGCTATTGGAAATGTTGTTTTGCCATACAAACTGGCGTTTGGGGGGGGTTTGGGTGGGTTGGGGGGTGGGTTGGTGGGATCGGAGTTGCAGGGCTGGCACTTTTCTGACGCCTGTCTCAAAATGGAGAACCCCTTTTTGCATGGTGTTGAGGAAAACCAAAAGGGAAACTGCCTGGAGGCTAAGTGGCTTGCCCAACGGGTTGACCGTTTGGGGTAAGAGAAACACCCACACTTACCCGAATTCGCTCCTCCGCGCTCTGGTACTGGTTGCAGGCCCAGGTTCGGAAGTTGGCCTGGAGGCAATCAGCTTCAAATTTGCTCTTTGGCTTCTGGGCCCCCAAGACAGGTTGGGGTTCGAAAAGAGTCCCAGCCGCAAATCGGCAACTGTTTCTTTCAACAACCTGTCGCCATGATTGCCCCTTGCAAGAGAAGACCAAAACGAGCAAAGTGTGAAAAGAAACGCGGCGTTTCACGTGTTAAACGTTGTTTGCGAAGGATACGCCTTGCTGTGATGAGCAAGTGAGGGTGTCCATGCCTATGTGACAAAGACGCTTTAAAGGGATCCCTTTCGAATCACCACGAAGAGTGCATGATTGGATCTTAGTCACATCGCCGACGGACTTGCAGAAAGGGCACTGGTGGGGGAAAAAAGCCTGGTGGCGAATGCGGCGACACGCATCTTGCTGATTTGACTTGCTAGGTTTGGCTTCTGGTTGTTGCAAACTTGATAGTTGACAACGCGACGCGTCATAACATATGTGCATCACCCCGGCCGGATTGAAGCTCAATTAATCAAGCTGTGAAACCCAAACTCAACACATTGATGCCCCTTGAAAGAACACACGTATTTTCGTTGCAGCTTGGACTGCCCAACACCTAAGTAAACCTCACCCCCACTCCCACAACCACAACGAATTCCCACAACTATGGAGCTCCTCACAGGCACCACGGCACGATGCGCCCAAACAAAAAACAATGTGTTAGTGCCAAAGGGGATGTCCCAAATTACAAGTTGCAAGCCTGATGCAAGGAATGGTGAGCTCACTTTACACGAGGTAGTTTTGTTGTTGGCCCTACAGCAACGGCGTCCGTGAGCAAATGTCTGCCCTCCTTGGGTGACTCCCACCATTGAGCCACTAACCGAAGTCATCAACCACCTAAATAGCCATGGTCATCCAAGTGAATGGTGCGCCCCGCAAAATCCGCAATCTCCCACAAGCTGCCTTGGAAAGAAGCAACAAATGCTACATGCTGCGACGCCAAGAAGGGTTTTGCCCAGCAACAACCTTGTAAGGCTAGGATTCACAGTCCAAAGAAGAAAGCCCAAAAGGTCAGAGTCGCAACAGACCGACAAAGGAAGACCAACACCTCAATAGTCCAGCATGGAGCCTCTCTGGAGATCCTGGAGCGTATTTTACCTTAAACGGGAACCCTGTGGTGGGTTCCATGCATGGTTGTGCGAAATAGCCCGTTCTGTGATACAAAGCGGGGGTTCCCTTGGCATCGCAGAAATCGGCCCAACAATCCCGATTGCATGACTCCAAAGTTCGCACAGGGGCCCCCGCAAAAGAGCAAGATCCTGAAGCAGTAAAAGATCAATTCCAACTGAGCGGGGTTATGAAAGCCAGTGGCTCGCTTTCCCCTGCGAGAAGGCGACAAAAGGGCGGCAGGGTCCAAACAAATGCCAAATGGCTATAATGTTTAATGGGGAACCCCCTCAACAATGATTGGTGGACACAAATCCCCATCAACACGGTGTCCACCGAAAGGCATCTTTAAACCATGCTGTTACCCATATCTTTCCAATCCAAGCGTCAAAAAGCTCCTCCATTGCCGGGTCAATCTCTTCCAGCGTGAGCTCTCCTCCCCCGTCGCTGTCCAGGGCATGATAAAGCTGGCTGGGGTCATACGCGAACCTCAGAGACCCACTGGGTGACATCCCCATGCCATCTAAATGGTTTGAAGGAAAACTATATACAGAAGTAGTTTAGAACCCCTCAAATGTTCACTTCAAGTGACCCAAACAAAGACAAGAGAAAGCGTCCAATCTAGGCTGGTCTTCCACACCCCTTTCCCTGCAAGAGGTTAAACTGCTTCCTGCTTTGAGGGGGAGAGTATTGTTTGTAATCAATTCAAAGGTTTAAGGACACACCAAAGAGCAACCAAGGGGACCCTTTAATTGGAGAAAAGTCGTAGACACACACGCACAGTGTTTTGTAATTCGCATGGTTAAACGATCAGAAGCAATACGTTGAATGATGTCGGCCACAGGCTAGGAGTACTCTCCCCAAACTATCACGGAAGGACACCGAACAGAAACACACGCATATTTACAGGAAAATCCTTCTGAAAGACCCTGTTAACTCCATGGTGAGGGTCTTTGTCCTCCCCGCCGCCTCACCAACCTGGCGAATGCAAGCGATCTCACCTTGCCAAGGCGCATGCGCTCACGCATGTATCCTGAGAATAGGCAAATGGGCAGCTCAATCTCATGAGCAGTGTGCCTGACACTTCGCTGGCTGTCAAAAATAGGGACCCGTTCTGGAATCCCTTTCAAGGACTTTAGAGGCAGGGCTACAAACAACTAGGGCCAACTGGGACCTCAAGAGCCGCTACTATCTAATGGACCTCAAAGGCCTCACAAACTTGCGAGCAGCTAAGGTGTGATTTGCACACCTAGACGCACAGCACCTCAATTTAACCTAATACAGTGCACGTCATGCAAGCGGGCACACACCAAGACACATACACACTTGCAAACAACGAGCCAGCCAGCACAACAGACCTGAATGAACACTGCAAGAGAACAACATCATCCACGTGTAATGCTCTGAGGAAGCGTCTGAGGAAGTACATCTCGGTGATCCGGTGCTCATGGTCTGGATCCAGCTTGTGAATCCAAGCGCGGAGTGTGGAGCCTTCCAGCTCAAAGGGAGAGGAATTGCCACGTCTGGCTGGGCCCAGAATACGCAAATGCCCTTCCCAATGAAACAATGTTGTTCAACATATGGTCCCAAATCCCGAATCCTGATCCCTAGTCCGCAGCTGGTTGCAGAACAAGGGAAACCAAGTAGTCCATCTGGCGTGAGGATCTTTCAGATTGACTTTGAACAAATCTCAAATGGAAACCTCAAAACAATCAGGTCTTTTTTCCCCCCAAATCATCCAAAAGAGATTCCCCACCCCCCTCAACATTTAGCATTGACTTGGAACCCCCGTGAAACATCGCGCCATTAAGGTTGGAAACCCTCTCTGAACTTGTCCAGCCTGAGCTGAGGGGAGGGATTGAGGGGAAGCCGATGGCATCGGAAACTGGTGGGGTTCGGACCGCGAAGTGGAAGGTGCAAGCCTTGTGCACCCCTTGCGGTGGCGTGAACAAGCCTGTTTTCCATGTCTCGGAAGCATCCGGTGAAGGACATCTGGGAAAGGACATCTGAAATGCAATGGAGGGAGGCTAGTCTCGAAAGCAACAAATTAATTAGGACATTAACTGAAGGCTGGTTTCAAAAGGACAGACCATGCACTGGGTCCCTGTTTGGGTGACCACCAAACTCAAGGTTCATCTGCAGGAAAGTGCACCTCCTTCTCTGTAATTACCGAAATCGTGGTTGGTCCTACGTCGTGCAAGTAAGCCAGCCAGAAAGCATGGTCGAAGTCCGACACCTGGAACACTTGGATCTCTAAGTGCGGACATACACCGCGCTTCCCTCCGAATCCTTGGAGCCAAGGAGCCCTCTTGCTTAATGAGGAACTCCTGCAACACCTCAGGGCCAGGAGGGAGTACGGCGCCCTCTCAGAAGCCCAGTGGATTTCTATGGGATAAAGGGCCTTATTTGTTGATTTTAAAGGGACACCTTTCCACAAAAGAGGACAAAGAAATTGTGACAACAAATTGAGAAAGGGTGCTGCTGGGCAATTGGGTCCGCTTGTCTCTCGGAAAAAGGGACCCTGCACAACAATAGCTGGCAATGTAGGGGTCCAACTGGTAGAAGAACGGGCAACATGCTGGCACTGAACAGCTGTGTATAGCTCTACCTTGGAAACGCCAGGGACGCGTGTTGTGGTCAGATAAGCAAAGGTGCAATCTGCTGACCTTCTAAGAAGCGCCAACATGGGGTGTCGCGGTTAAGGGGTTGGATCACAGGAAATGTTGTTTTGGAGTTGGCATTGGATGTGGACCAAATTTAGGAACCTGCAACCATTGCTTACACCCGAATTTACTGCGCGACACATGGAGGGTCTGGAAGCATCAGAGCTATCCTTCCACTGCGGCAACAGCTACTTAAGGGAGCAACAATGGAGAATGGTGCACCCAGATTGAAGCGCATAAGGACCCATTTTCGGATAGTCTGAAAGGGACAAAGAAACCTCAACCATGCTTGGGGCCTGTGATGTTTCGCCATTGCCCCATTTCACCTTAATCATCCCTAATCAGCGTCTCTGGGCGGCCCCGCGCGCTGTGCAGTGGCCAAGTCCATGCTTGGCAAAT